CCCCCCCCACCCCCCCCCCCCCCCCCCCCCTTAAATTCAAGTTTACCACGTATAATTTTTTCTATACCTGCTGCGTAATTCAGAGGATTTCAGTGATAAATGCTGGGCTTGTAATAGTGACGTGCCTCTATCGATGCCTGCAACTTCCTGATGATTGATTTCTAAATTTCTTGCAGGAAAATGGAGGTGAAAGTCATAACGCTGAAGCGACGGGCTCTAACGGAAGTGGTTCTAAGCCAACGCGCCGTAACAACAACATATGGGGCTCCGCGGTTGTTCCCGCAGCCAAGCCAGAATGGCCTGAAGAAGCAGCCGTTGTCGCTCCAACACCCGTTGAGCCTGTGGCCTTGGAAAGTAGTTATCTGAATGCAGAGGCTTTGGCTGCACGTTGGCAAGAGCTGAATCATGTTCAGGCTCAAATGGCCTACATGCAGCAACTGCAGCTGCATCAGGCTGCCGTGCAGAAGCAAGATGGACGTCAATTGGACACTACGAACGTTTACGTCGCGCATTTGCCGGCTACTTTTGGGCAGCAAGACTTCGTCGATCTCATGAGTAGGTTTGGAACAGTAGTGTCAAGCCGGTTGTTGGCCGGGGAACACTGGAAAAAGAAGGGTGTTCGCGGTGTTGCTTTTGCAAGGTACGTCCTATTTGTCAATCTAAACCTTGCATGACAGGTTTTATTAAAATATCCGATTTGTTCGAAGAAACATGGCTTTTGTTTCATTGACGCGAAATGTATATTGTTTGATCAAGGATGTGTATATTCATGTTAGATTTGCATGCCGTCTTTACCTCTGTAGAAGAGCACATCTTGTGATAAGATGCTTCTAATGCTTTTTAGTTATCTATATCAGCAGTACCATGCCCATGGTTCTTCCAATTATTTTCCTGTTTTTATTTTGTAAGGTCGATTACCCGATATACTAAAGTACCATGTGCCCTCGAGTAGGACGCGCACCTTTCTTAGCGAAAAATGTTCGGAAAAAATTCCATCCCCGCTTGAGACGTGCACCTATTAGTTTTCTGTTCTAAGGAAAATTAAAAAGGTGCTTGTGGTACTCAAGTATAAATACGGGAATGAATAACTTGATCTTGAGAATTGCAGTGTAAATTGTTCTTCGTAAAGTAATGTGAAAACGCGAGAATTTCTGTTTTCTTGGGCATTCTGTTGATGACATTTTAATGTTATAATCAATTATAATTATCAATATAATTTTGATTTAAAAGAATGGCAACGCCGGAAGAAGCAGCTGCGGCTATCAAAGGAGTGAATAATCTTTCATTGCCCGGGTCCACGATGCCCCTGAGGGCTCGATATGCATTCAAGACCCAACGTGAGAACGAAGAATTTGGAGCTGCTCAAGTTGAAACTGCTGCTCTCGGTTCTGCTGGGTAAGTTTTCCATTTTATTAGCTAGTCTTGACTGAAAATGATGACACGTTTTCTGATCCATTATTCTTCCAATTTTTATATTTATGCTATTATCACTAATCTTGTTAATCGTGTTAAACGTTATTTATTAAGTAGTTTATTCGTTACTCTTAGCCTTCTGTTAATTACTCCAATGCATGCGCAACTGGTTGAGAAAACAAGCTTCATTTTCAATGTTCAGAATTGTCAGAAATACTCGTTTTTAATCAAAACGTTCATTTGGCTAACTTCAGTCATTGAGAGAACTGAAAGATTCATCGTCAATTGAACCTTTTTGGGGTTATGATCCCAAGAGGATAAGTGAGTAAAGATTTATTAAGAACTCGAAGAATCGTTGTACTGAATATTAATCTTGTTCATTTTTTTGGAACTTCAATCTTCCTTTTTCGTGGCTTCATATACTGTATTTCTAAAAGGAAAGGCCACTCTATATATACAATTTCACCTTTTTCCTCTGTAGATGAATATTGACTTGTTCAGGCATGGACAGATAGCGTTTTCCTGTGTAGAATTTTTTGAATGGCTCATTTTAAATTCGTAGTCGGGGTTACGGAGGACGAGGAAGCTATTTTGATTGAATTACTGTATACGATTTTTTAAAGATTGAAAAAAAATGAATGAAGCCCAAATTATGACAATTCAAACATACCTCTCTTCCAAAAAAAGTTGCTTGATTTCTTCAATTAAATTTGTGATTCGAATTTTTAGTACATACATACTGTGATGTGGAATGATGTTTAGAGGCGGAATTGCTCTTTCCAAGCCCATTTGTGACCAGTACTCAATGCAGTATTCCAGTTCTGCATTGAAATACATTCGAATATTCATTTATCATCTTTAAAATGTTATTTTCAAACCTGGAAATTTACTGAACTAGCAGCTCCTGTGTATAACGGTAATTCTCTATACAAAATACATTTCAATCCCTTGCAGTAAATCTGTTGAGGCACCCCAGTTGTTCAGTTGGAAGGAACTTTCGCCGAGGTAGAGGAAATACTGAAGCAGCATTTTATTATTTGAGTGGTTCTCTCCTAATCGAAATTTGCTTTGGATGCAGTACTGTTGCGGCATACGCTGGACTGGCAGCTCTTTCGACCTATGCCGACCCTTACGCCATACCTACCGCGAGTTACGCGGCGCCATTCGACCCTTATTACGACGGCGATTGGCAAGCGTACGCTGCCTATGCGACTTATGCGAATCCGCAAGCGTATTATGCTACCACTGCTGGAGGCAGTTCGACGAGGCGACGCAGTGGAGATGGTCGCGGGTCCCCGGGGACCAGCCGTGGTTCTCGGTCCGCTCGCGGTGTAAGAAATATGGCAGGCTTTGTGTTGACTTGACTTGACTTTGCGAAACGGTTTTGTGATTTCGGCTTGATCGATAGCTTTTCCACTTGTCACTGTACTGAGAAGGGAACGATAGTGATAGAAAAGTAAATGATTAAAAAAGTGTTGACTTTTAGTTTCAAAGTTTACCGACGCCGTGAAATTTACGGAAGTAGTTTTTAAATCTGATCTTTATATTCTAGTATATATACGTACAGCACAGTACTGTATGCGGTTGAGAAGTCCTCTTCAGGGGATGACGGAGGTTCTCAACAACTACACTCAGTTCATCAAAGAGAATCATGTAGGAGAGGTTTGGTTGTAGAGGAGCTGTTCGTGCAAGAAGTGGGACCAGATAGTGCTCGTTATATCTACGAGAAGATGAGATTCCATTTTAAGTTTTTAGACCATGCCTTCACGGTACGAGTTGTCATTCTTGACTAGGCCTTACTGTCATTAAAGCAGACTGCTCATTTTATGATGGTGATGAATAAACTTAGTGATATGGAGAAAATTTGACTGCCATGATTTGGTGTTATTGCATGTTTCCGATTGAATCGCAGAATATTCATTATGATGGAATACAGTACAGACAGTACTGTACCGTAGTTGAAAAAAATTATTCATCGGTAATAGTCAGAATTGAGTTTTTTAATGTTTGTGTTGACATTTAAATTCTCTGAAATTGGTCGCTAAAAAGCCTAAAATCAATCTCCTAAAATTTGAACGCGCCTATTTGAACTGAGCTTCAGCTTAGCTTTTATTCCGGGCTTTGTAATTATGAAGGGAAATATATTTTTTACCGCTTTCAGTGATTCATGTAGACTTTTTCCTCTGTTCCCGTGGTGATGGTAGAAGATTGTTTTGTAGGACGCTGATGGGTCACGAGCAAGAGAAGAAGTCGACGAGAGCCGTCGACATGGGGGTTCTTCATCGGGTCGTCGTCATCGTAGTTGGAAAGATGAACGCAGCAGCAGAAGAAGTGAAGAACGTAGGACGTCTTGCAAGCGCCGAAAGCGTAGCGACTCTTCGTCCAGCAACGAATGAATGGCAAATGACTGTTGAGCACCGCGGCGGCTTACTCGTATTGGACCAGTTTAAAATCCCCGAGGACTATAATTCTTCTGAGTTTCAAATTTGTCACTTCTCGGACCATTGTACATGCATTGAAGTATGCTGGGTCTTTGATCGTTGAATGCAGCCTTGATCAGCTGTTCGTGACCAATAAATGAGCTTGCAACCCTGAACGTGTGTCAAGTGCTGAGCGGATCTTCCCGACATATTTTACTTGATCTGTGGAACAGCGTTTTCTTTGGAGTTAAACCTAATTAGCATTTGTCAGTTTCAGTCTTCATTAGGTGAATTCATGGACATGGAACATTACTTCGTGCGTATTTTCATACATTCTGTCTTCCTTATGTCATTGTGTCTCTTTGGACGGAGATGAGGCAATGATCTATTCTATAGTATTCTGTACTGTACTGATTTAGTCTTTTCATTTTCTGAGGAGGGTTCACACGCCCGACGGGGCCTCGTGAAACTCAACGCACATGAAGGCAATTCAGTGTGAAATTTCCGAGTTTTGGCTTAACCAAGTCCTGAGATTGAAGAGAAACCCCTATTGATTAGGTAAAAAAAAGATTCTGGTTGCTATGCGATATAGATTTAGAGTCGAGAAATTTTTTCTATTCTGGGTAGATGGCGCAGACTGTCATACGGATGTATGACAGTGGTGACTGAGCTACTGCTTTCTTTGCATCTTATGGTGCTGTGCAGTACAGCACTGTATTGCACTCTGGTTATGCCCAAGCAGGTGAGGCCAGACTCGAAGTTAGTGGGACTACTCGCCGGAATGTTTCGTTCCCGATCGATTCTCTTGTGGTGAATTGTAGTTGGCTGATATACGCTCAGTTTGTTCGCCTAGGAAGTGTCGCCACCTAGTATTGACACTCAGTGTAGTGCAGAGCATTCGTTGATGAAATTGTCCTCGCTTAGCGTGCTTTTTGTCGCCGGTCGGGTGAATGGTGTCTTCGTAAGAGCAATACTGAATTTTAAGTTGTCTAACCAGTTGATGATCGTCATATCTTATGTTGAGGTGTGGGTCCGCGGAAGTAGTGAGTATCGTGTTTCCGTGGTGCCACGCGTTTATGGAGCGGGAAGATGCGACGTCGACCGACAAGCCCCCAACGGATGAATCTTTAATCGCGGAAGAATTACTTGGGAAGGAAGGATCAATGGACCCCCTAGAGCACGATGTTGTTCTTGCTGGCGAAGGGCTGGAAGACGCCGAGGATTCTTTGGATGACATGCCTGGGTCTATTCCAGATAATCAGAATCCATCCGGTACGCGTTTTCTTAATCTCAAATTTTGAGTGGATATTTTATTCTATTGATTCGTCCAGGAGAGCCGACCGAGCCCGTGAAAGATGACGAAGATCCTGCCGAACTTGACGACGCGTCGAATGCCGACGATTCTCCGGAAGTTGTCAATTTGGATGACAACGAATTAGATGAAGCCGACGAAGAAATCGAGTCAGAGAATGACGAGTTGGTAGAAGAGGATGACTCATCAAAATCGGACATAGAATGCATGGATATCTCATCTCCGAAAGATGCGGATGAAGTTTTCTCAGATTCCAAAGACATGGGTGACCGCTCATCTGTAGGAGATCCTGAAGTCTGTGATATCTCTCAAGAGGATTCAGAGAACGACGATGATGCCGAAGGCAATGACGACGAGAAAAATGCCGTAAATTCTGTGAACGACGCCTCTATCATTGAAGAGGACGACGATGATATTATTGTTGAACAAGAAGTTAAAAGTGCTCCGAAAGTTCCCGGTAAAAACGAGGAAACCACGAAGAAGCCGCACGTTTCGTCCAAAGAACTAACTATCGTCGATGTTTCCAGTCTCCTTCCGAAAACTGACCCCAAGGCAACTCGTGTTACTCCAGAAATGGCAAAAACAGTGGTGGCTGAGAAATTGATGGGTAAGCCGAAACCACCAAAAACTTCCAAGACTTCTCTGTTGAACACTGTGTTATCCGACGGGTACCAGCTGGGCGACAAAGATTTCGTCTTAGAAACAGCATCATTCGTTTGTCCTTACGTCTACCAGAAGCCTCTAAGTAAACCCGTGGTAGAGGTATGGCGTGAACTTCGTAAGAAGCATGCGGAAGAATCCGGTGAGACTTTGGATGATGAGGAAGAGGATGAATTGTTCAAGTCAGAAGCCAAGAAACCCGTCGATGGAAAGAAGAAAAAGCAAAAAACTAGGAAAAGGGGCTACAGTGACGCTGACGAAGCGTGGTCTGGTGCGTCTGAGTCAGATAGTGAGAGTGACTCGGAAAAGTCGAAAAAGGATCCCTTCTTTTCGGATCCAATCGGATCTTTTCTTCTCAACATCGGGAAAAGTATCGTGGATGAATTTGCGAACTACGATCTACTGCGTATGCAGAAACGAAAGTTGGCCAAGGACGGAGGTGCATCAGCCCCAGCTGCTGCCCACAAAGTGATTCAGATGACGAAAACTGCGCTAGAAAATTCCAAAAATAAAAACATACCGTATAAACTGGCGTATAAGCGGTGCAGGTTCTGTAATTTTCGCACAACGTCGAGCACTGTTCTTGCGCGGCACTATGAAGTTCCGCATCCAGGATCCGGCAATTTGGCTTACTGCAATTTCTGTAACTTCTCTTCAAGAGTATCCTTGGAAATGGAAGACCACTTCCGCATCATGCATAAGCGAAGGTATCGCGTTCCTCGTCCGGATATCCGATTTAAATGCCCGTTGTGTCCGTGGGAAGACAGATTTAAAGTCCGTTTTGCCAGACACATGGAGGCTTGTGAGAAGAAATTCGTCCCAGAAAAAACCCTGGAGATAACGGACTGGGAGCCCCCAGCAAAGGCCCCTCTTCGGCAGTTACTTCAAGGTGGAAAAACGGATTTAAATTCCGCTCGGATGAGCTATCAGTTCCATCCGTTGGTGACACGAGAGCATGTCAAGGTTGCAAATATGATTTTAGCTTCTGCTTCGAAACCCCCGAGACCGCAGCGAAATTATTCTCTCCCGAATCCTCCTAATCCAGGTATGTTTCGGCAGTATTACCACCATATCGGAATCCTCGTTTTAGTCATCAGTTTAGCTTGTGAAACTGTATCTTAGTTGGGATGCTGATAATTTTTCTTTTTTGTGAGCCTTTTTTTCTTAATTATGCATCGGATATTTTGTGAGTGAGCAGTGAAAATATGCTTTAATCCAGAAGTACCGCGTGATACTACATCTTGGCTCTACGCTGTTCGATTTCAGTTGGCTAGTGGCTCGAAGGATTATGTGTTGAAACAGCTGTTGTAGAAAGTACTGTAAATAATAAATTAGGTGAATTTCACGGTGAGCAGATTTGATGAGGGGATATTTTCTCCCTTCGATTTTCCTCAATTTTTAAAATGATATTACGGTATAATGGGGCAACCTGAAGCGTCCATTTTCATTCTGGCCTTTATAAAATCTTGCGTGGTGTTATTGATGGTGTGGTGGTTAAACATCATTGATTTCCCTTTTCCTGTTCAGTTATACCGAGAGGACCAAGCATGCCGTCACCAAACCTCTCCATGTTGATGAATCAAGTGAGTATATTTTTTCTTATTCTCCTTACGACATTCTTCACTGTAAATGCCTCCGTTTTTAGGGACTTCGCGGCCCGAGGCCTGATTTAATGCAACTGACTCGACTTATGTGGCAACAACAGCAGCAAAATCCTGGGACCAATATGAGCTGGTTAAATAATTTGCAGGCAAATGGACAGGTTGGTGTCATTATCAATTGGCTATCCGAAAAAAATCATAAATTCGAAACTGTACTGTAAATTCAGGGTGTCGCTGTTGCTGGAGGAACGTCAATTTCCCTCGTTCCTTCAAGTGGAAGAAAATCAGGAGGGATCTCTGTTCGTCCTAATATCAGTAATATGAACAGTGGTCCTCGGGCTTCAAATGGGACTCACAAAAATCATCCAGGAAGCATGCCTTTCAACTTGCCGTCGTCACTTACTATACAGGTAAGCATGTTTTTTTCTTAATCAATTATTTTATTAATTTTCTTATGTTTCCCCTTACTCAAGTGCCATTGAAAAATTTTTACATTTAATCTTGATGCAGCTCTAGTGTTCAAAACAGTACAGATTAGAAAGCACTTTTTAAACTCATGAATTCAGATTTCTGAAAGGAAATACCGTACAAAACATTGTTACAGTATTAATACTAATACATTTTAAATAGTTCATACGAATACGAACGAATGCTTGTCAATGAATACAGTTTTGAATATTTATATTACAGTATTTGTGATACCAGTTTATATTCTCTGGACAGTTGCTTCTGGTTATTGCCGTGATTTCTAGTGTAATACATTTCTAGTGTTGTGATATCTTATGCAACATATTTTACCGTACAAGCGTCATTCTTAGTTGGTTTCCTAATTTGGGCACGGCTTTATTTTTTGCTGTTTTGTTTTTATGAGCATGTAAATTTTTAGATGTATACAGTATATAAAGCATGAACATTAATTTCCGTTTTTGGAAATGCTGTGCAGTACGGGAATGTTACGATGCATGCTGTCACGATTTTCGTTTCTTCAGTCCTTGAAAGGCAATGTCCAGCAGAATCCAAAGCCGCAGCCGCAGACACGCGCAGCTGCGAAACCTTTGAGCAAAGGAAACTTACCTCCTGGACCGTCCCCATCAGTTTCGATTACACCTTTGCCAGCTTCGGCTGGGCGACGACAAGGTATGCCACCCGTTGTGCAGGTGGGTGCTGGACCCGGACGGCGGGCTGCTGGTATCCCGCCCAATCGTTTCGCCGGTGACGAACAGAATCCCACAGTGGTGTGTGAGATCTGCGACGGTTATATAAAGGTTCGTAATTTTTTGTACATTTTAGAGAATATTGTTCAACTTAAGCCTGTTTTTGATAATGCACGCTCTTGTACGAAAGCTTGAATGAAATCGAAGATAAATCAGTTGGTCGCGTGTAATCGAAATTTTTCGACTTTCCGAGGTTCAGGTGAAGTTTAAACGTACATGCTAACCGAAGTTTTTCGTAATTTTGACATCTTCGTTTTCATCTAATGTTAGACTACTAGAAAACGATACAAATTACAATTTTTGTTTTATTAGTCTTAAGTACGGATAGGGGGATTATTGTTTTGACTTTGGACTAGACTTTTTAATATATAAGTTATAATGCAATGACGAGCGTTCTGCAAGCTTTTCTTTCTTTTTCCAATGAAGGATTTGGAACAACTTGGAAATCACCTGAAGTGGATTCACAAAGTGTCCCTGCACCCCCGTTTGCTGCAAAGTAGGCCACCACTGAACTGCCAGAAATGTCAGTATAGGTTCTTCACTGATCAAGGCCTCGAACGTCATCTGCTTGGGACGCATGGTCTCGTAACGTCGTCAATGCAAGAAGCTTCAAGCAAAAACCAAGATTCCGGTCGTTGCCCCATTTGTGGAAAGGTTCGCGTTATTTTTTTTATTGATTACTTTTTTAAATACTGCATTTGGCTTTATTTAGCTTAATATTGTACAGTATTTATTTATGATACAAATCTACGGACGCGCAGGCCTCGTATCTTGAAGCAAAAAATGAATGTACAGTTTTTCGTCCAATGATAGGCAAACTTATTCTGCAGGATTAATTGACGGAACGAATGTACAGTAGTACAGTACTTCGTTCATCTATGAAATTCGTTTTTCTGAATAAAAAAAGCTTGAAAGAATTCGTTTTCAACAAAATAGGTTGCTCAGTGAGTCTCATGAAAACGGAATCCTGTGTTCTTTTTTTTTTAAGCAGTGGCTTTTATTTTCAACTTACGCTGTGATTTTTTTTTTTACAAAATTAGTATTAGTTATTGAATTGGTTCAGTATAACTTGTGGGACATTTTATTTTATTATTTTATGGACAGATGTACCAATGGAAGTTGTTGGCGCATGTGACCAAAGATCACAAGATGAATCTGAAGCCTGCGCATTTGTCGTACAAGTGCACGGTGTGCACAGCGACCTTCTCCATGTATCGTTCATTCGAGCAGCATGTTTACCTCGAGCACACGACTCTGACGCGTCGACAGGGTGGCGCTGTAATCCCTCGGAAACATCCTGCTCGGGTACCCGGACTACCGGGCTCGCTCAACATCTCGGACGAGATCACAATCATTCCACAACCGAAGACTATTGTAGGAAATAAACGCCCCGCGCCTACAAGACCGATTACCATCGATTTATCTGATGAGGAAGAGCCTCCAGCAAAAGCCAAGTCAGGAGCAAAAGCTTGCGTAGTTGCTGAGGCGGTGGACTCATGAGTCACGTCTGCGCACCCAAGTGACGGGTCTTCTGATTAGGGATTTAGAAATTCTTTTTTTTTTCTTGTACATTTTTCTGACTGGTGAGGAACAGGCAAGACATTTTTTTCGGATGTGGAGTTGGATGTATCGAGAAAGTGTTCCGATTTACGATATCGCGCTGTTTTGGTCTAAATTTGAGTAAGTTGTTGCCCTTTTATATTTTAAGATTAATTTGCTAGGGATGGATTTGTATGAGAAATCATTCGGTGGTCATCTCGTCGATTTTATTATGGTCTGAAATCAGAAAGATAGATTGCTTTCGTTCAAGCCAGAATGCGAGTTTTGAACGTGAAAAATATTCGTATTGATGAAAGTGACGAAAGAATTCTACATTTGCTTGTTGTTATGCATTGCGTGTGTCTGGGCTCATTCTATTAAGAAAATTTCTTTCTTGTACCTCACCAGAAATCGATTTCCAGACGTAACCTCGCCCTTTGTTCGGAGGGTTGACAAGTTGTTTATATTGTAATGAGAGGAGGCTCGTGGGGGAAAAAACCCTACTACTTCGTGTCCCAAAGGAATTCCGCCGCGCGCCGTTTGTACCATAACTATTTATTTCGTGGCGGATATTTTAGCCTCACTTAGTCACATGTGATTTTTCGCCAAGGTTTTTCACCCTGGTGATGGAATCTCAGCGTCAATCGCGTGTAGGTAAAACAAAATACGACTTTGTTGATAGCTCTTGTGATTGTGAAAACATCCTTTTTGTATAACAGGTCGCTATCGCAGCTTTGTTTCTCATGAATTTGTTTTTTCTTGCCAAGAGATGATTTTGCTACTCTACGAAAACAACATACCGGGGCCTTTATTTTTATCACCGATGTGGTTGTTCCTTGTGGGACGTGTGGAAAATATGTCAGGCTATAAGTCGAGTAAACTAAATGGACTGTTATATCTGATGGGGGTATTTTGTTGTGTCTTTTAGTTTTCGATGATGACTACCTACATTCATTTTGTTCATAGGTGTGTCTATTTTTGTTCAGTGATGGCCCGAGTTTTCGTTGGGTCTTTCGTGTGATGCGGGTCAGTGGAGCCAGTGCGAAAAAATTCATTCAGCAGTAAGTATGCATTTCGTTATGTTTTCACCTTCAGATAATATCGCCGTTATTTAGAAGGCGAAGTACTGTAGTTTTTTTGAAAGTTTGCTTGCTGATTCGATGCATTATATTCTCAGCTTTTCCTCGATTTTTTCTTCTTACAAAATGCTCAAAAACTGTGACATTTACTGTATTTCGAATGATGTTTTTATACTTTTTATGAAGTTCCGAATTTTTCTGTTTTCTGATGGTTCGAGATGCAGGTTGAATTCGTTTTGAACAATTTTTTAAAATTCTTGCGGATACGATACGGAATGAAGAATCCTGATTCAGCAAATAAAAAAGAATAAAATTGAGTGATACGAACTGAAAATTTTTAAAATGTACAATTCTGTGCGAGGAAAGTCCCCCATCTGTGCAAACGTCCAAGTTGAAGCAAGAAAATACTGTTGCTGATTATGTTTTTCTGAAAATCTTCAAATATGTCTTAGCTACAGTACCTCATTGTTTTTTTTTGCGAAACTACGAAGTTCTGCACGATTCCCAAAACTTTTCTCTGCTGTGATAAATTTACGATATTACTGTAGCAGTAGCTGATGAAAAAAGCACATCATGATATCACTGTATACCAAAGGCTCTTAGCCACTCTCCGGAATTCAATTGCTGGACAATCTGTTGACCTCTTGTGGATGCGTATGGTGTTGACATACTGAGCATAAGATGAACTCGTATGCAGTATTTCTTTTTATAATGCGAACCTTTTCGCTTTGTAGTGCTTGATCTATGTTTTAGACCTCTGGTATGTATTGGCATGATTTGCTTTTGGATGTGGAGTGAACAAGGCTTTCGCGAATGTCTTCGCTTTGTTTGCATTTTTGTGAAATTTTCCGTGTTTTTCTTGAGACATTCCCCAGTTTCTGTGATCTTCTTGAATGTAGGTAGAACCATTGAAAGACGAGAGTAGACTCTGTCCCTTCGCCTCATTCCACATTTTTTCAAGTACAGTACTTCCGTTGTTGATATGAACATCTGTTGAAAACTCTTCGCATGTACTCGAACGGGTTGCAGTAATTTTTGGGCGTTGAGTAATTGATCGAATCTGCTACATTTCTGTTGTTGTATTGCAATTGATGTGCTGCAGGCGGAGAAAGGAGGGAAGCGTTGGTTTTGAAGAAATTGTGATCTCCTTCCTTTCAGTAGGAAGGGAAACTGCGCCGTTGGGAACCGAGGAAATTGTAAGCATTCCGTGCGCATGCAGCGAGTTGTCTCGGTATGAGTAGGCCTTTGCGAGATGACGCATAGGACAGGAATTTATTAAATGGAAAATTTTAAATCGCCTCCATCTCAGCTGGATAGTTCCATTGGTAGATAAAAAATAAAAAGTCAAATGGGAAGTGTGCAAAATTCGTGTATCGCTAAACTGTCGACTCTTTCCATGCGTACCAGTGGGTGCAGAACTGTTGCGGCAACCTGACGTGATATTGAAGGCATGGGCTTCTCGACACCTTCACTGAGAGGATTATGCAAAGTCGTTTCGCTTTGTGAGTATTTTCCCGTTGCCCTAAAATTCATTCCCAAAATATACATCTTCAATTTCACCTAGATCAGTTGAGATCCGTGGTAATAGACGTGAAGGGAAAGAATATAAGTAGCCGACAAAGAATGATGGCGATGAGCGTCAGTGAGGAGTCCGGCAACCAGGGTAGTTCTGCCCGAGCTGGTATTCATAGTTACCACAGTCTTGGGGATCCGAGGAATTTTGATTTGAAGCGTGTCCTTGTTTTGAGTAAGATTAGCCATTATGATTTCGAAAAGTTGCTAAATCCCCACATGACGGACGACGAACTTCACGAGAACTTGAAGAGACGTGGAACGAACGTCGACGGTTTGCAGCTGCGTCATAACATCCATAGGTTTGTTCATTTTCTTGATTTGTGTCAATCTGACCTGCAGAGTAATTTCGGTAATTTTTCAATGGGGAAATAATCGGGCTTTTTTTATTCATCAAAAACGTGCAATTCAGGAAATGTGATTCAATGTGCCGATTTGATTGATCATCAGGTATTTTTAGCGTATGTTCTTCAGGACGTACGCAGTGAACCTAAAAAATTGCGTTGCCAAAAATTATAAAAGTTACACTTTCTCGCAAAATTTTTCCCGTCTCAAGAAAGTGCGAATTTTTTGTTGCCTGAATTTTTAAAAGTTTTGGAAGTCTGTTCTAGGAATTTTGTGTTCCGATCTCCCGAAGTTTTATTATAATGAAGGGATTGCACAAATCTTTGTTTTCACTTCAGGGTTGTTCTTTTTCTATCAAGGGATTGCACAAATCTTGATTTTTGAGGGTTGTTCTTTTTCTATTAAGGGATTGCACAAATCTTGGTTTTTGAGGGTTGTTCTTTTTCTATTAAGGGATTGCACAAATCTTGTTGTGGAGGCCTTCAGGAAGCGAGGAGTAGATACCAGAGTCGTGGACAGGTTCTCTTATAACCAAACTGCTATATCCTGGGCTGATCTGGTGGTTAGCACTGGCGGTGATGGGACATTCCTGCTTGCAGCTAGTAAGATACAAGACTGCAACAAACCGCTTGTTGGCGTCAACTCGGAACCCTCCAAATCTGAGGGGCACCTGTGCTTGCCAAAGAAGTATCGTGTTAAAATTGCTCAAGCTGTGGACAAAATTATCCGAGTAAGTATCTTCGTCTTGGGGATTGTATCCGCCGATTTCAAGTCCTTCTGATGCGATTTTATATTCCGTTTTTTCAATTGCCCATCTTCTGTCATATCATGTCATAGTCAAGAATATTTTTCGTCATTTATGCAGGGAAAGTTCCAGTGGATGTTTCGGAAACGTATTCGTGTCACCGTGAGTGGCAAGGACGTAAACTCGCCTCCTATTGAGCTGCATGCACAGCGTCTCAACTGCTACGAACTTCGGTAGTTAATTCGAAATACTCTGATCATTGTACAATAATTGCATTGTGTGAAGGAACAAATTATTATTTTTCGTTCCAGATTTTTTGAAGATTTGCCATATTGTCTGGAACCAATGAAGTTGGATGAATTAGATTTGAAAACCGATGAAGACGTCAGGGTCTTACCAGTGTTAGCTCTGAACGAGGTATGTATTACGTTGGAATTGTTTTCGGTTTCAAAATTTTCTTTGCAGTGTTGTGTATCATCGAGCAGATAATTTCAATTGATTTATTTTTCTTTCTTAGGTATTCATTGGAGAAAGCTTATCAGCACGAGTTTCGTACTGCGAGTTGTCCATTGACGATGGGCAATGGTTCAAGCAGAAATCCTCGGGGTTCATTTTCAGCACCGGGTCGGGTTCCACCTCGTGGACGTTCAATATTAGCAAGTTGAATCAGCAAACCGTGAAGAGTTTGCTGAAAATTATCAGCGAAGAAGCCAAGCTAGACGTTGATGCGGAAAGTTTGCAGACTAACCACGAGCTCATTGAGCGGATCACGGCCAGATTCAACAATGGATTGATATTAACCCCTGGTTTGTCATGTTCATTCGGTCTATTTTTCCCGTTAATGCTTTCATTCAGTACCGTAGTTCAGTTCGTTTTTCAATAGATCTTGACTTACGAGTTGCTTGGATCTTATGCGAATCTTTCTAAATTAAGAATTGGCTTTACTGTTGAGGCTGAAATTGTAATGTGATGATGAAGAAACTAGAGTAGTGCTGCCGATCGTACGGTGCGCAGGCCAGATGCCCAAATCTGGTCCTAAGAGACTCTTCATCCATCACGCGGTCCCCTTCCTATACTTCTCAAGCTTTTAGCTGCCACTATTTGAAATACACATTGAAAGATAAATGTAAAAATTTGTAATGTTGCTCAACCTTTAAAAAATGATATAAGGTCATGCGTGTGATTCAACTGATTTGAAACTTTTAATTTAAAATTGGAAAAGTTGGAACCTCACAAATTATTGTCTATTGTGTCCCACTGGCCCGCCAAGTACTCTCCACCTCAGCAGTGCAAAAATGTATGAATGTGGCCCTTGGCCACATCTGAGTTGATCAGCAATGAACGAGAGGGTGGGCCACGCGCTTTCAAAACCCGTGAATTACTCCTGGATTAGGGTGCGACCTGGTTTTACCACAGGGACTGTAAACTGGCGTAAACATCCTTGAATAAAATTTATGCATTCTTTTTTTTTTCAGATCAACCTCACATCGTATACACTATCCGAGACCCGATATCACCTGGAGTATTACCGTCCTCGTCGGACATTAAACCGCGTGATTTGGCAGCGAAGGTATTGGTGAAGTCCCGCTGCATGGATGCCTCGCTGGTGATCGATGGCGGGCTGTCGTTCAAGTTCAATAACGGTACGAAGGCCAGACTCGAGTTGCTCGATCATGACGCTCTTCGCACTATGGTACTCGACGAATCTTCGGAAGACCTCAACGACGAGATCACGGACAGTGGCTGATGACATTCCGGCACTTTGTGATCGCGTCCATGTTTTGTAGGAAGTGCAATTCTTGTTGGGGGATGATATAGTCGAAAAGTTGGACGAAAATTTCTTGATCAGAAAAAAACACCAGTAATTACGAAAAACCTCGTGAGTTACCCCACCGGAATTAGTTTGTGCTTGTTCGAAGGTCGTAAACCAGATGGAATGATTTGATGAATGGCTTAGGTATTCCCCGAATGTGACGCGAAATTTTCTCCGTGAACCCTTGGAAAAAATCTGTAAATTTTCAACTGTTGACGAGCTCATCCTGGGCATCCCCAGAAAGCTTGTGCTGTCACAGCAGAAATGCTTCCAAGCGCTTGGAAATAGATTAATTGAGGCTTGATCGCACCTTTTATTTCGCGGAGGAACTGAATTTCTTTTGAAAATCTGCTAGGTGGTCCACTTTTTGTGCTATATCATCATAGGGATGTTCCGTGTGCCTTTTCGCTTTTCAGGTGTGGGGAAGAACAACGATGGACCGTTATTTTTTGTATAGAAAGATTATTTTAGGCTCTGATTATTCTTTTCGACTTTGTGAATTGTATAAAGTGTGGCTTGAGATTTTATTTTGGTTAATGTTGCAGTCTGGAAAAGGTATCGAGTCTGGTCGAGTGTTTCGTTGTGTCAACTCTTTGTACTGTACTTGGCATTTTTATGCGAGTGAAATTGAGAGGCACTACGGAAAAACCCGCTCTTTTTTATTTCAGGATGGCATAATTTTTGAAGCATGTACTGTGCTGCAAAAACGTTCCAATGCGGTGAACGCCTAGTTTCTGATGGCGAAGTGACATGTTAGAATTTTCGAAAATTGTATCATAAAATTTTCATTTTTTTTCTTTTTTTAAAATCCTTCAATTACAGATTCCAAAATGGAGAACCGTCAGCATTGTGTTTGTCAAGGTAGCGAGCACCACGGAATTACTTTGAAGGATTTGAAGTTGGGCGAGGCATGTCTGATACTTGATGCATCCGAAGCTCCTATCTCTGAGAAAATGAGTTTTTTATCTCAGTCTCAAGAATGCGAAGGGGTAATATAATTGTCTGTTGGTAAATTACCAAATACCCGATTTAACTTTTCGATATATTCATTTCAATATCCTTATCTTAGTGTGATTTATGGAGAATATCTCAAGTTAGTGGTGGGACAAAAACTGGATTTATTGTCAACTCCACGTTTTCCTCCATAATTGAGATCCGTTCATCAGGCGCTTCTACCTCTGCTTCACTTTGTCACTTCAGGTAAAGTGAATCTTTTTTTTTCATCCGTACTGTAATTTGATTATACAGTATCTTCAATCTGAATGTGATTTTTAAATTAGAACTACAGTATTAAACCCTCAATCAATCTATTTTTCGTCTATCGGTGAGACTAGATAAGTTGGATGACGTACAACTTCGGACTGAGACCGTCAAATTAAATCTACTTTTTCTCGTCCATCGTATGTAAAAGCTATTGTTGAAACGTTTCGTTTGAAATACAGTACATTTTGATCATCTTTTCATTTTGATCAGCTATCATTTTGGCCAGAGCGGTTGTTACCGTTTGAAATTCAATGCTACGCAATGCGATCAGATTGCTTCTGTCGTGGATCCGGTGAACATTTACCTCCGTAAGTTGACAAATCGATTCCTGATTGTTTGAACCTGTTTTCTGACGTGTGTTTGGACCTTCGGGCAGCTATTGCGTGGATTACCAGCTTCTTCGTAATTCTGCTCCTGTGCACTTGGTTTGCTCCGAATGCTAAACGTTTGATGCGGTTTGCGCGTTATTCGTCCCGGGTTCGTCTTCAACAACCTTCGGCGGAGTATCAAATAATAAGCGCTACAACGACAGAATCTACTAATCAAAATGTGCAACGAGTTCCTGAAAGAACCACCGGGAAGCTTGTCGCAAACAAGCGATGGACAAGCTTGGATTGCTTCCGAGGGTATTGTAGTGATTTCTAAATTCGTTTATTTTTATGGTGATTTCAAATAGTTTTCCATATATCTTCCCATTGTAGGTTGTCAGTAATGATCATGATTTTCGTGAACTACGGGGGTGGAAAGTACTGGTTCTTCAAGCATTCGAAGTGGAATGGATTGACGATTGCTGATTTGGCATTCCCTTGGTAAGGTGTAATATCGAACTGTGTCGCGAAGTCAGATCTGCTGTGATGTTTCTGATAGTTCGAGCATTTCAAGAAGTATTCAAATCTACGTTTTAAAATAGCATTCAACTCAAGCTCTCGCACATGCTTGTGTACCGTATTCCCCACTTGATCCGCGTAATTGTCTCCTTTTTAGAATACAGTTGTATGACAAGCTCATGTATGTTGGATATATTTCTAAAATTGCTTTGAATGATGGAATTGATCGGAAAACATTTTTCTACTTTTTCAGCAATCCGTTTATGTAAAGAATTTTTATTCAAGGATTATAAAGATCCCGTTGCCAAAGTTACCTGGGTTTGTGTTCGTTTGTTCAACGCCTTTTGTTCCATCGATAGTTCATTCTTTTTTAAATCCTCGGAATTTTTTTTTTCAAACTGTCTATTTTTGTTGTATTTCTTCGAACCGAGGTCTTGGAGATAAATTCCCGGTGAAGCTTTATAGTGAAATGAGATATTGAGAGCAAAAATTTCGTTGAAACCATCTGCTGGAGAGTCAAAGGCTTTTCAATCATCATTAGCCGAGGATCTTTTGAACTGTATGATTTATGATTTATTTTTCTTGGCATGTCTCGGAATTGGTCTGATTGTTACAAGCGCAATATTGTAAAATAGGTTTTTGTGGATCATGGGTGCAAGCTTGTGCTTGACTTGGGAGTCAAGACGATTCAGCGAGACAACTTGGATAAAGATGTTGCTATCGGGGACCAGAAGAAGTGCCATACTCTTCCTCCTGGGGCTAATGATCAACTCAATGTAAATTCAGCGGTGTGAGGAGTTTCCTCCAATTTTTTGTCAATTACCATGATGTTTTCCTCAGGTGTTGGAAGAATGACATCACTTCGTTGAGAATCCTAGGAGTACTTCAAAGATTTGCTGTCGTTTATCTGTTTCTTGTTTTACTGGAGCTAAGTTGTAAGAAAAGGATTACTGTAAGAGCGAGCGAGGAGGAGGAGGAGGGGAATGACGTAAGTATGCTGGTGAGTCAGGTGGACTTACTGTAATCCCTTCATTTGCACCACATTATTTCGTAGGCCATCATCCATAGGTTCTATCATGGGAGAGACTTGATTCCTTATTTGAAGCAGTGGATGGTTATGCTAGCGCTTATCATGGTCCACACGTCTGTAATGTTTCTAGCTCCAGTCCCCGGTTGTCCCGCGTGAGTGGAATTCTACAGAAAATTTTTCGTTCAAATCTAATTTCGTTGTTTTGGATGTAGGGGATATCTTGGTCCAGGCGGACTTCATAAAGGTGGAAAATTCTGGAATTGCACAGGTGGTATTACTGGTTATGTTGATCGGCTATTGCTGACTCCTTCCCATGTCTATCAAAATCCTACGTCGAAATCGATTTATAATAGTCACATGCCGTTTGACCCGGAAGGTTAGTACTGTACTCGTATTTTTAATGAAAGAATGTACGTGTACATTATTTGAGTGCTTAAGTTGATGATGAAGAAAAATAATAGATTTACTTGGACATTTGTCATCTTTGTTCCAAAATTTAGTTCGTTAATTATTTGAAATTTATCTTGTGGCCCTTCAAATGTTTCCTCCAATTTACAAGTACAGTACAGCAATGCTGTAAAAACCATGAAGTGACGTACTCATCCTTCTGAAATTTTGAAGAAAGAAACCTTGACAATAAAACATATATACTGTATTCATATTCCGCGGAAGAAAACATTTTTTCTCTGCTGTTGATTACTGCATCTCGATGAAAAACTTCATGATTACAGTATATTGAGACAATTTACTATTGAGTAAGCAAACCGTGTTTCGAAAGGATTATGAATCCCCAAGCAAGTTTTAAGGCGAATGAGTATTGAAGTCAAGCTAAATAGAATATAATCTCGTTATAACGAATTAATGCTCACAACGAATTTTTTGTCCCTGTCCAATATAGCCACAATGTTATTTTAATTTCGTTTCAAAGAATTTTCATTTATAACGAATTATTTTCCAGGGTCCCAAATGCTTCGTTGCAACGAGATACTAATGTATATTCATGGTGTAAAATCACCTTTAAATTCTCGCGTTCTTCGGAAGGTTGAAAGAAGTAATGTTGGACTGCTGTTCATAATAATCATTCACTTCAAGGTTTTTGTGCATAAATGACATCAGAGCGTATAATTTTTGGAATGAATAACATTCTCAGTATTCCGGAATAGTTGAACTCGTCGTGTCGTGAATTTTTGATTTCACGTGTACAATTTTCCTTTCTAGGAATTTTGGGATGTCTACCATCCATTGTTCTGTCTTACTTTGGCGTGCAATCTGTGAGAATTTTGCACGCTTTCAGAAGATCAACGAAGGCTCGTATTTTCCGCTTCTTATCCTGGAGTGTCGTTCAAGTGCGTATGAGCATCGCATGGCATATTAAAAAACCATTGTTCTATTTTGAGCCGAAAATCGTGTATAATCTTCAAAATATAGGGGGCAATGGCGTGTGCACTCTGTGGACTGTCGAAGAACGAAGGAATCATTCCCGTGAACAAGAATCTTTGGTCATTGTCGTACGTATTTGCGTCATCGTCAATGGCATTCGGGATTCTCGCATTTTTGCACTGGATAATCGATGTAAGACGATATTGGGCTGGTGCACCGTTTATTTATCCAGGTATGTCAGAATAAAGAGGAGACCAAGGATGCCTGGTTCTATTTTAAAGTTCGTCTTCTTGCAGGAATGAACCCATTGCTGTTGTATGTTGGCCATGAGTTCACGTCAGGCGTTTTTCCTTGGCAATTTGGACCTTTGCCAGAAACCCATTTTGCCCATTTGGCCATGAACATTTGGGGCATGGGTTTGTGGACTGCTGTAGCGTTTCTTCTTCACAAAAAACGATTTTACTTGAGAGTTTGAAATTTTATGGTGCTGCTGCCACTCTGGATTGTTCTTGAATTTTATTGAAGCTTGATTGACAAGTGTATGTATTTATGGATCTGATGAAATTGAATAACGTTGTTGGTTTTATGAAAGGGGCAACTCTTATTATTCCTCTAGTCCATTCTCCAATCATTTTACCAATAGTGTACTGTATGTCAATCATCCCAGTCAAAGTGTCCTGCCTGTGGTACACCCACTCTCAACCTGAGAAGAGGGGAGTTATTGTTGTCTTAGGTATTGTAAAATCTGGACAGATTTTTCATGGATTCTTCTGACCTTCACCCAAGAATTAAGAAAATAGTAGGTTTCCATTGGAAACGGAAATTGTTGAAAATGAAAAAGGAAATACATTCGTTATTATTGTGGTTCTCGTCCTCAAAAGTTTCTGGGGATTTTTCAATGAATGTCTGTGGTTGTTTTTGTTTTTTTTGCTGTCTCCCTCACTTTTGGCTGTATTGTGAATTTTTTCAGCTATAACATGAGGAAAAAGCCCGACGAGTAGCATCGGAATAATCTTGCTTATTTATTTTGCTAACATTCAAGTGCAGTACTGAAGTAGTGTTGTTTGTTTTACATGCAATGATGATATTTCCCCCAGTATTTTACAGCAGAGTTTCACATTCCTGTACTATTATGGCCAAATTTACTGAATATTGGGGGTTCTGTTTTTTCACTCATTTGCGAGGCATCCATATATTGAGTCCTCATAATTCCTGTCATCTTTGGTGTAACTGCTGTCTGCAGCTATTAATATAATTAAAAACTTTGAAAATTATTGCAACCAAGTGGAATTTTCGAAATTATCAGCTCATGTGTGATGTGAATATAAAGCTGCTTCGACGGAAAGAAAAAAATGCTTCTTATCTAGTGGGATGTATAAAATTTGAGAATTCGCTCTGTACAGTACATGATAAAGCATTGCAAAGTAAATAATTTATGTACGGAATTTGCAAGCCTTGAGCATTTAAGAAATTAGCATAAGCGTAATACATCATTCGGCAGCAGTATGAAGTTTTTTAATTATCCTGTTCAAATTCTTTAAAACAAGTTTTTTGTCTTCTTAAAATGTCATGTGCTCCTTCGGTTTCAAGCGAACAGCGTTTGGGCACAAGCATCGTGATGTAATTTGAGATGAGAATCTTGTTTTGAAAGATGTTGTTCTCATATTGCTTTTCCATGTACTTTAGCAAGACTTTACTAGTTTACTGCTACATATGCGTGGCTTGTGCGAGTTTTAGAATTTTCAGCAATTATGTTATTCATGATGAGTAAACCGATAAACGCGTCTAAAAAGTAAAATTTGTTCGTACAGTATTTTACGTTGAACTGATCAAGACGAAAGTCAAAATAAGTTTTAAAAGAATCTGATCAAGAGTTTCATGATGCATACAACTACAGCTGCCCACCCTATCATCTTTTTTCAATTGAAATAATATTCTATGCATGATACAGTAGTGTATTAGCAGATGTTGAAGTAACTATTTTTTGTTGCCTCTATATAGACGTTATTCATTTTAAAGTCACCGACAATTTTTCCCGGACATAATTATCAGAAGCTCTACCGGTAGAATCTGATTATTTTAGAGGTTTCTGTGAAAATATCTTCTACGTTTTTATGAACGACAGACCTTGAAAAATTGGCGCAAGCATATTATTCCTCATCCTCTCTGCGGCATATCCGAGATTCCCTCGGCCAAAAAACAGCCTTGCAAAGCCATTTTCTTTCTTTTCTTCATATGGAATAAATTGAAGGCATATTATTCTAAATAATGAACAGTTATTTTCTTATGAAAGGTATACAGTTTATGTATAGCTACAGTAAAGTTCTGTTGCAACAAATCTTGTTTTAACGAACTTATTTCATTGCACCAAATGTTTTCTTGGGTCCTGGCAGTCTTCCCATATATAGGCGCTATTTTATAACCATATTTTATAACACATTGATTTTTAGGCTATAATCTCAGTATAACGAATTTGTGTCCCTGATTTCATGCATAGGCTGCAGGGATTATTCAAAAATGGCTGAAATTGGAAAAATTGAAATGGTGCAAAATTCCAACTTTTTCCAGTAAGAACCAAAAAACTTTTTGTAGAGAAGCAATAATGTTCAAAAAAAGACCAACAGAACAAATTTCTTGGGAATTCAATCTAAAATGTAGTAAAAACCATAAATCTCATTACAACAAATTTTTTGTTACAAAGAAAATTGTGATCAGGTCCCTGGGTGTTTGTTGTAACAACATTTTATTGTATATATATATGTACAGTAAAACAAGGTGGGCCAAAAAAAGTGAACCAATTTTTGACTTGGAATAGCTGGGTAGCAAATTGAGCTGTGACAATGGAAAAAGCGCCAAATCAAAGCTTGTTCAATTCTATTTCAAATAGTATGTTGTTTTATGGTTCATATCTCAAAGAATGGTTACAAGAACCATTCAAGTGAAAACTTCCAGAAAAAAAACAAGTTATCAGGCAACTTTTTTCCACTGAGCTACTGGTCTTTGAGAGTGCTGTTTGCATGAATGAGGAAATGTAGAATGTAATGATTCAAAAAGAAACTTCATGCTGTCTTGTATAAAGCCTGCACATGTTCCCAAAATTCAGAAAGGGGGGATGAAAAGGTGGAAGGAAATTGGCAAGATGGGAGCCCCAATGTGGTGGGGCTCCCATCATGCATGTGTGCTGCTCCTCGCATGCATCAGTTGGGTATGGGAGCCATGATCATGGCTCCCATACCCAACTGATGCATGCACTTTATTTCTGGATGACCAATTACTGAAAATGATTCTAAGTGGAAATGATTTCAATAAATTAACTGATTTTGAGCAATCTGGTCATCCAGAAAAAATGTGCAGTTGCTGGTCATTGGGAGCTGCAAGGCATGCCCAGCAAGCAGCAGGCGTGCATGACAGGGGCCCCACATCATCCTATATTGTCAATTTCCTTCCTTCTCACAAGCTTTGATTTAGTGCTTTTTTTGTTGTCAGGACTCAATTTCCTACTGAGCTATTCCAAGTCGAAAATTGGTTCACTTATTTTAAAACGGTGTATATATGTACATATAAATATGTGTGTAAGTGTGATACTGTGTATAAAAAGACCAGCAGGATAATTTATGAAAACTGGTCCTGTATAATACACACCAAATTATTGCACATTTTAGTGACACAAGTCTCCCCCCCCCCCCCCCTTTGCTAATACTGGAAATGTGTGAACTTGGGATTAAGTTGAACTTCCCGCCGACTGATACGTTTTTCGCCCTTGATTGCTGCTGACAGTCGACTCAATTGAAAAAAATCAAAGTTCCCAAGTTCCAATATGGCGCTCCAGCTGGTATGTACGTAGTGCACTACTGTACGTGGGAGACCCTGGTGCTAAGTCTTTTGTCAGAAAAGGCGGGAACAGCAGGAATTCAATCTCTCCAGCTTTATAGTCCTACGTGTTGTTGGCAAATGGCATTTGGGTGTAATCTGCTGCGTTCCACTAGTATTTTTTTAAGAGTGAAATGGCGCATTTATTATTCAAAATCGTGATTTATCTTAGATTCGAAGTTTTTGCGCTGTACGTGTTCAAAAGAATAAAGCAGTATACTGTACAGCATTGTTGTGCATTATCCCAATTCCTGTATACTTGAATACTATTTATTCGTAAGTCTACAAAGTGGCATTGTCCTGCCGATTTCTGGCAGACCCCGCTAGACTGATGCACGCATGTTTTCATCTCCCTGACGATTTTTTCTTCACCCCATGGTTTTACGTAAAACAGGCTGTAGCTTAGGGGTTCGTATAGTTACGGATTTATGATTTGATTTCAAGTCAACTCTGTTGCAGCCCATTAGTTCAATGATTCATTGGACTCAAAATTGTCAACAGCGATGCACTGTGCTTACTTATTGTCCGTTCGGTAGAACAGTGAAATGAGAGGACATAGCAATGACCCCCACTCCTCCCCCCTGCGCGAATGAACAAAAAATAGGTTGGAAAGGAATGCTTGGGGAAGTTTTGCCACTCTGGGTATGTTGCGTTCACTGATATGCTACCTACCGCAAGCCGGCTTCATAAATGCTGTATACTCCCATCCATGTAAGAAGCGCTATATAGGTTCCATAAAAATGTCTGATTTTCTTCTGTTGACCTGGACTTCTGAGAGAAACCGCTATCATGTCGTTCTAAACCTTCATAACTTTGGCCATCAATTTTTTGTTGGTAGGCCAATTCAATAGCGATTCCCACATCGCCTTTATGACGGCTGTAACTCGAGGGAAGCGCAAGTTGGCTAAAGAGGAAGACGAGACATGTCAAACGAAAAAAATACATCTAACCGATAAGTACATCATGTGGCCTAGTTCCCTGATGCGGGCTGGTCATACCAAGGTCGAGATCAATTCAACTGATCCAACCCATGCGGCAGTGATTCAGAACATTCATGATGAATTCGGTATTCATGTGGGGCGAGGAGTTCAACTTCCCTGCAAACTCTTCCCCTCGTCCAAGTTTCGCAATGGAAGGGAACGATTCTGGTGTCCAGTCCACCAAGGTTCATATGGCAAGATAGCTCAAGTGAATGAAGCCAATTCTACCGGAATTCGGAAATGCGACCAAGTGCACGACCTAATTGACATCGTCCGGGATTCTGAGATTCCTGTCTTTGATTTGGGAGACTATTTGCGTTTTAGCGTCTCAATCGGACTTCCACCGTCTGTTAACACAGTCGAAAAGAACAACGTTGTGGGCTTACGTATACACGCCGAAGGCAAAGAAGAAGTGATCAATAAGGTGTTCCCGGCAGTTTACATTAAAAAAATCCCGAAGTGTTTGTTTTCATATTCTGGAAAAGGGCTCCTGATCACGCCTCCTGCTGCTCTGGAAGCTTTTATGCAAATGGAGGCTGCCAATGTTGGCAAAGAAGACCAGAGTTCGGTTGGCCATCGAGTTCCTGTGACACTAACCGAGGTTGTTCAATGCAAACACTGCAAGAGCCTTCACGAAGATGTTGGAGATTTTTTCGGCCAGAATTACCACAAGAAACACTTGTGCGGGTGCTGTGGGAGGGAGATATTTGGAAAGCCCAACATTGGAAATCCTCTGGGAATATTTGTCAAAGGTTCGCAGCCTTCTCAAGCTGAAGCCAGCGGGCGGTTGGTTTTAGACACCTCCAAGCATAAATTCATGCTCTGGCCGACAGTGCGTGCATTCTTTTCAAATTCTTTGGAATCAACGTTGCAAGGAGTACGTGTGAAGCTGTTCGATGCTGAAGGCAATGATCCTGAAAGCGACAAAACGTATGGATCCATTGAAGTTGACGGGCAGGCTTTCAATCGTCGGAAAGCCATGCAAGTCATGCTGGACGGAATGCAAGGTACAGAAAACCACATTGTGTTAGAAAATAGTGTTTGAAAGCGTACCCGGGGTCTTTACTCAAATGCAGCAACCCAGTGTTGCGGTTTTTGTGGGTATAACAGACGTTTTGAAAATGATCAAGTCAGCGTCGTGTTGTTCACATGTCATATACTGTAGCATTTGCTCCAAACTTCATTTATCTTTAATTCAATGTTGTGCAGTATTTTAAATGTAGGTAGTGTGTAAAGTACTCTTGGGTTAACATGGCTTGGTTATTAATAAAGGTCACTCTCCTGATGCCACAAGATTAATCTTCTGCCGAAATGGTGCCTTGCGTTGTATCGTTCTGGCTGCTCGTGATATCATGTGTAGCAGCTCAAGACAGTGGCGCGTATTATTTTAGGCATTTTCTGAACGAGAAGACTGAATTTTTCTGTATCCCGTTGTAAAATGAGTTCTCTGTTTGTTTCTTAGTTTCACTCGATCACTCCGCCCCAATCCAGTTGAGAAGGATTAGGATAATCCCAACATGACCATGAGCTCCAGCACCACTTTTTTTTTTTTTTTACTGCATATGGTAACTGGTAAATTATCCTTCTTTTTCCGATGTTGCTGCTTCCGCATGGGCAGGAAATAAGAAAAACAACTGAGGATTCAGAACTTGAAGGAGAATCGCACAAGACCAGTCCACCAACGGCCCGATTCAGCCGAAGCTTTGATATTTTGATACTTTTTTCTGGTTTTCAAAATCCTGGCTTTTGATGGGAGAAACATGACGACCTTTGTCTGGTGCCCTGTCTTGTTTCAATTTCAATTAGATGAGAAAATTTTAATTTTGAGTGTAATTTGGGATCAAATCAACGCCGAGCTTTTGTGGAACTTCTTCGGTAAGTCAAGTATAAGGCGGTTCTACTGTGAAATGCTGGTTTCCTGCAGTTTTTGGCACCATTGGTCAAGAGGTTGAATGCTGATTAAAATGCTGAAAATTGCTTCCAATTGAACACAACTCCTGGCAATTTATTCATACTAGAGTGAAGTATTATAGTACTGTGTCTTTGGTAAGATTTTTGTGGCGTAAATGCCATGTTTTGGTGTGAAAATGGATATTCTGATAGTAGAGATTTTCTCTCCGCATGAATATGCTCTCTTAAACCCAGACTCAGCGTGTAAAGCAAATGACTTCGAACAACATTTTTGGTCCAGAAACGGATTTTATTTTCTTCAGCATGTTCAGAAGAAGTGTTCTAAAGTAGGAGGATTTCCAAAGAGATATGAAGAGTTCCTTGCGTTTGTTGCCATGTGAATTCAGAGGCGTTTCATGCCTTTACAGTATATACTATATATACTGTATATATATATGCACACACCATCCAAAATCGGGAAAACTTGCAGCACTGCGAGTATATTGTCCAAGTGCCTTGCCTATTCGAACTGTATTGTTCTCCACTGGACAGCAATCTTTCATTTTCAACTGAATTAAAGTTTCCGAACGATAAATTCAAGCTGCATTTACAGCTTATTGAACCCCTGTGAAGCTGTGATTGCAAAGCATAGTACGTACTGTATATACTGGTAACGTTGAATGTGACTAGATGTTGGATTTGCTTGACTCCTAATAATTACCGGTTACCGCAAATCAAGAATTCTTCCTTGAAACATCTTTAGCGCAGTTGGAGCTCATCAATACTCTGGTTGTAACTGGCACGAAGAACAAAGCAAAGAATCAAATTTCCTACAATATAAGCTCCCAGAAATTTTAGCCAGCAACTTTTCATGAAACTTTTGAGAACTCTGATGAGTATTGAAGATTAATCTCGTGAATCCATCTAGCAGACATCAATGATTCACAGATGAAGTGGCTTTAAAATATAATCGTGCTGCTGTAAAGTAGGTCTTTTATTGAGAAGTGATTGCCCCAAGCAATGAATATTGCGGGATAACAATAAATATAAAGTAGTCAGTAATTGATTGTTCGGCCATTTTGCTGCAAGCATAATGCTGTGACCCAATAAAGGTGCACGAGAAGAAATGAGTTTTTTGTTTGTTCTGAAAATTGTTATTTTTAGTTAATCACATTTGAGGCTACACATCCTGTTTTTATGCTGTAATGTAAGTTGGCGCTCAAAGAGATGAGAAGCTGTATTGTATTCATTTCAAAGACTATAAGCAGCTGCTGAGGCTAGTATATAAGCTAACGGTGTCTGCCGAAGTCAGTCCCTTGCTTCCTTATCTTCAGTCGTCTTCGAGTTCTTCTCCGTAAGCATCAAGACCTTCTTCAGCCATCCATTCAGATGCAATGAGCATGTCACGAAACAAGACGCGACGATCGAGCTCATGGCCATTGATAAACACGCGTCCAAATGTGTCATCAATTATGCGGACATCTTGCTTGTCGAAGGCGTGAACGTGAATACCCCATACCTCCGGTGCTTCACGACTCCAAAAGATGGCCGGTGTGGATGGCCAAATCATGACTTTGAACTCCGATTCGTCAATCCGTACCTCGCTCAAGTGTGGGTCACGAACTTCCACCCGCTCCCTGAGAACATTGTCTTGAATCAAAGTAGCCAAAGGGTTCGCGATTCCAGCTTCTGGAAACACCGTCAGTTTCCCGCATTGACCGCAGAGGTGCTTCTTGTGTGGTGTCTCTCCGAAGATGTTTCCGATATCTTCGTGTTGAGAATTGCAGTGTTCGCAGCAGAGATTGCCTGTTAGTGTCATCAGTTGTCGTGGCATATACAGCATTTCCTTTGATGAAGACCAGGTACCCAACTGTTGTTGGTTGTTCACCGGGCATGTGAGTTCCTTGAAGTATAGCCATTCCAGTGCCGCGGGTGGTGTGATGATGAAGCCCTCCGGAGGAATCTGTGGAAATCGCCCAGTTTTATCTTGGATGCGAACAGCAAGGTAGTTCTTGTCGATTAGCTTCTCGCCCTCCATCATCTTTCGTGCGTGAACGTGTATTCCGGGGAAAAAGTTCGTGTCGTTTAGCGTGTTGATCGATGGCGGAAGCCCGATCCATATGCCAACGTCGCAGTACTCCTCGGGCAACAACTCCGTCTTCTCTTCGGGCACTAAAGCAACGAGTGGTACATCGGAGGTTAGAATGAAGTCGATCAAGTCATCTGCTTCTGAGCATCTCTTGGTCGCGTTTCCCGCCTTCATCAGGTCTTCGACTTGCTGGGAATAAGATCCTCGGAAGAAACCTTGATGGACTGGGCACCACTCCCGATTCCTTCCGCTCCAGAACGGAGACGATGGGATCAACTTGCATGGGAGTTGCATTCTCCTACCCATGTGTATTCCATTGGTCGGGGAGACTCCGCGCAATGCCTCGGATAATAGCACATCTGTGTCCGACACGCGCACCGTTGTGTGTCCTGCCCTTCGCAATGAAGATGGCCACATGAGGAAAGTTGCGGATGTCCCTTCCTGGCCACTCATTGTTTTGTTTGCCGGAAATGCTCACTCTTCCTAAAGCAGTGGTTTGATAACAATAATAAACTCATTTTCAACAGCAGTTCTTCAAAAAACCATATACAGTACTTGTATTTTATGTACACAGTTCGTACAGATATACAGTATACGTGAAACAGCATGCTGGTTATATGGTCGTGGCCTAAATTCTATGAAAAAAAGAAGATGGACCTAAACAAGTTGCACCGGGATTAAAACAATTTCCACGAGTCAAAAAAGAAAAAAAATTTAAATTAATCTCGGTAAATTCAAATTACTGTAGTTGCTTTCAAAGAAATTCGATCATAATTTTTTCCCATCTCAAGTGATGTTGGGTTGATTTGTATCTTAATTTGAATGAAAACCGAAGCTTTCGAATAATGAGGGGGTTTTCTTCAACTGTGTTATCTAACTTATAATGTTGGAAATTTGAATTCGGGCTGACATGAATGTGAATTTACAAGACTATATAAACGAATCAAACTTTTCATTCTATATTTTGCGGCAATTCAACATACGTGCGCATAACAAATCATAAATGTAATCGGCAATCAACTTATTGTTTGACTAAAATAAGCCTAATAAGGTGTGATCGAGAAATTCAAACTACTAATAAAATTTGGAATACTTTTAAGCCTAGGTGTGGCTGGGGTATCAGCGATTCTTTATTTCGATATTTCACTCACGAAAGAAATATTTTAATTGCCCCCAGATCCAGATTTCTCTTACTTCTCTGTTGTGGGGCACAGAGGGCACGTCCCACGAAACCAGTAAAGTAAAAAACCGCGCCATTATTGTAACTTAAAAAACCTGAACCGTTGGAATGCGGCAGTGGGAAGTTCCTTGGAAGCTCCCGCTGCCGCAAATTGCGCAATCAAAAATCTTGTCTCTTTTTGCGATGAATTATTTCGCATTACGTTCGCTATTCTCGAAGCATTTGGATGTGTGAAGAATTTGTCTTGTGCATTCTGAATTCGTATTTTTACTCTGAGATTCGCACTTGTGAATTTTCCAAATATTTCATCTCATTACTTTGAAATACAATTTACTTCTCTTTGGAGTCCTTACCAAAGGGCTCCCTGCCGTGTTCCCCGGCGGATTGTGCATTTTTACTCATTTATTTTATTCCTCCATTCATTCGAATTCTTTGTGGGCTCGTTGCCCTACATCTGTCCTGAGTATTTGAACTCATATGGCCTGATTCTGTTTTGAAGCATCAGACCTTGAAGGCTATTTCCGTAATGTTTCAATGCTGTTTAATTTCTTGCATATTGCGTTCATCATGCATTAGGCAGCTCCGTTATGTGATCCGGTTATTTTACAAGAAGAACAAAAAACACGTTTAAATCCTATATGGGCAGAACCATTGTTACTTTACAGTACAGTTGAATTTCCCTGTAAGTCAAATTTCAAGGGACCAGCAGAAAAATTATATATTCTGGTTATTTTATATCTGGTATTCAATTATACAGTACTGTATATTATATACTCTGGTCATGTTATTTTGGAAGCTATAGTTTCACTTTTTCAGTGGCGCCATCTCACGTCTATCTTTTGCACTTACACAGCAAAACCGGGGTGAATCAGAAAACCAAATTAGAACGAGGCAGAAAACTGAATTTCACCAAGAGCTACTGGATAATGCTGTTCGTAGCAAGTATCACCAAGAACAGCTACATTTTTTATAATCATTTGCTTATGCAATATTAGATAACCAGCCAAAATTTCAATTTTCCGTGATGAATCTTGGGAAAGAATGTTTTTGTTAACGTTTACAGATGGTGTTTCTGCGCAGGCCTTAAAAACTCTGTCAGATAAAAAAAAAAGAAATTGCGCCTGTTTCATCGTTCTTTGATTCATAGAAGGAAGTGTAAAGCGTGCTGAAGCCACGAAATCACAAAATTCAGTACTGTACTGAAAAAGAAAAGAATTGTGATCAAGCCGTACTTTTCCTTGCACACGCAAAAGTAAAAGAAAAAATTTTCTTTGATAATCTCAGCATGAAAATTTTCGCATTTTGACTGCGAATTATTTTTTAATGTACATGATGATGTTCTGATGATATGGCCAGAAAAAGGGCTATGTTTAGAAATTGATGCCTGATTTAAAAAAAAATCTGAATTTTGAATAGCGACAGTCTTTTAAAGTTGTTCATAACAAATTCCCTATTATCTTATGAGAGCTTGTCCTTCAAAAATATCACTTTTACTGAAAACAAATCGCAATAATATATGCTGCAACAAAATTTGGCGTTTTCAGCAGTTGTCTGAACACTTATCAATGAGGCATCGATGTTCAATCTCAGCTAGCAGCGCAGAAACCGAAGAATGAGTCAAGGTCTACAGGTTTTTATCTTGATGCAGATGGTGACTCAAATTGCATTACACCTTTTTTCTGTGCAAAAATTTCGAGTTAACGCTTTGGCCAAAAAAAGTGAGTTTTTAGTAGTATGAATTTTGAAGCATCCTTGTTTGTTTTTTTAACGTTTCGTGAGGGTCTCATGGAAGTTTTTTGCATCAAGTCATTTAGTAAAAAGATGTTTGCAATAATATCTGCTGTACGAAACATTTTCATTACTGATTTTTCAGAAGACTCATAAAAATTTATTTTGTAATGGATCTTCACTGGGCCGGAAAAAACATCTCGCAATAGTATTTGCTGGACCAAGATTTTTCGCAAACATTTTGTCAGGGCCCCATGGAACGTTATTTTAACAAGATGTGATCTTGACTGAAATAAAATGCAGAAGTATTTTTGCTCTAACAAGATTTCACGTGGTCATCACTTATCTGAACATTCTTCAGTGAGGCATTCAACCTCAGAGAGCAGCGGAGAAACAGAGAATGAGTCAAGTTCTGCAGGTTTTAGCAAAAGGTGACTCGAATTGCATCATATCACATTCTTTTGTGCTAAATTCTCGAGTTGGTATGGCAAAAAATATAGGTTTTGAAAACAATGACCGACTTCCGGGAAATCCGAATTTTTATAAGCAGTCTTGCTGTCATGACAAATTTTGCCAGGGTGTCAGAAAAGTTCGTTGTAACAAGTACTCACAAGCGGTAAAAATTTTAGCAATATTATTGGCTCCACGAAAATTCGTTGTACTACTGTTTATTTTCAGGACGATGGAAATTTTTTGCAATGAAGCTTCACCTGTACTGCAAAAAAAAATCTTCCGATACTACAATTGCTGAAAGAAGATTTTCTGCCACACATTTTTCCAGGGTCCCAGCTTGGAAATTTGTAGTTACAATAAGCTATTATCCGTGCTGGAACATTTTGCAGTAGTATTTTTGTTTTAACAAGATTTCACACGGTCAGTTACTGTCTAAACACTTTTCAGTGAGGCATCGACATTCGAACTCGACGCGTGCTGAAAGCAGCGAAGAAACTGCGAGATTGAGCCAAGGTCCAAAGGGTTTATGTATGAAAGCAAAAGGCGACTCGAATTGCATCATCACATTCCTCTGTGCCAAACTATCCAGTTTTACAGCAAATGGATGATGCCACAGCGACAGTTATGAGAAAAGCACTGCTGCTGCTTGCTCATCCTCCGAATATATGAGGGACTTATCATCTGACGATATACATTGTACAATATAATATACTTTACATAAGTACTGATATAGGTACTGCATGATATTCATATCTGGACTTGTTTACGAGCCAGTCGCGCAAACTGATGCAAGCCAGTGCTGATGATTGCTTCTCGGTATTCGTGGAAGGTACTGCTGCATGTACCGAAATAGCATACCGCATTGACATGAATACCGGGTTTCTTGCGTCTAACAATTGCGAAAGGATCAAAAGCAATTTAAAAACTTTGTTTATTCCTTTTTTTGGACTTATTATACTCCCTTCCCGATTTCCCCGAAGTCCCGCATTTTACTCATTCTCTGAGGACTTATTGTACAGCACTATACAGTAGCATAATGAACAATTTTTGAATCAAAAATCAGCAACATATCCAGAAAGATATTTTACGTGAAGTTCGAATGAGAATAAAGTGAGGAAAAAAATCCCCGTCAATTCCAAAGGACGCTATTCAAATATTTTTTCATTTCATGATAAAATTTATTGATTTCCTGCACGCGAAATCCTTCTGGATATATTATCCGGTATTTTCAAAATTTTTTTATTGTACGCATTAAAAAACCTGCAATATATTAAATTTTGAAGAGCACTTATACCTGAATAAATAATTGACTATTATTGGTGAAACCTTATTGCAATAATAATGTACAGTATAAGTCAGAATATGTCTTTATTGAGAGTTACGATTAAAAGCAGCAATTTTTAAAATTCTGTTGAACCGCCATATATTTTTTTATTGACATATAAATTATAAATGCCTTTTAACAGTAAGTTTACAGTATAGAAATTTCATCGGTCCACGCGAGTTTGACAGGAATTTTAGTTTCTATTTATGCACACGTACAGCATGTATATGATGAAAATAATTTCGATTAATTATAACAAAAGGAATTTTCCTGAAATCGAAGGTTTGTTAGTTCAATTTTGATTTATTTTCCGACTTAACCGAAGCATTTTGAAATTACCGTGTATGGATGCATTTCTCAGCAGAAATTATTTCGTCACAGCGGAAATTAAAAATTCGTCCCGCTACAAAAATGCAAGGTTTACAATATTTTACTCAAGCACTTAAACTTATTGGTTCCTTGAATGGCATGAAAAACATTTTCAAAAATTTTTATAATGTTTGTTCAAAGGAGAAATATCTGTGAAATAAAAGAAATTATATACTCGGGCGTCAAAAAAATTCTGCTGCGTGCAATATTTCCCCTAGACAGGATATGCATAACAGTATTTTCAAATATGTAACTCAGGGTTTTACCAGAGTATCACACTCTAAATGCAGCGCCCTCTGCTGGTCGCTGCCCGTCCTCAAGTACTGTGCAGTACTATGCTGCATTTTCAGCGTAGGTCTCAGTCGTCTCACTCTAAATGTATATATCTGAGCATTCCCGGATGAAAACATGTTCGGTCACGATTGTTGATTAGTTCCTCATAGCATCCATCAGAGTCAGGTATGTAAGTGGTTATAGATCCACGCAATCCTATCCAATTCCATGGGTTTCAATGAACGTATCTGCTGAAAAATGTTATTCCTATTAACCTATTTCATCAGAATCTGCAAATCTAATGATTCCTTTGAATCCGATGACTAAGTCTTGCATATTTCTTATTGAATTTGTTTCACGGATCCCTCAACAAATTTCACATGAAAGCTCCACCCATCATCGACAACCGTGCCTGCGCATCCTGAGCCAAGTGCACCGTCTTTCGCTGAAGGGCCAGTTAGCAGTCTTGGTAAAGCCATCAACCAGGAAAGGTGTGCCGCTGTCATACGGATTTGCTCACTTAGGCGGTGCCATTGTGTGATTTGCTGAACAAGCGGGCGTCCCCGCCGTACGGCACTAAATAATTTTGGGGTTTGTAGCTATTTCTCAGCGTGATTTACATGTGCTCCTGGGTGTGAAAAACTCATTTGAAGTTGAGAGGAATGACTTCATGTAGGCCAGTCTGAGCAATTTATTTTCGCAGAGAGATCGTCAATTTGCGTTTACAATTTGGCTGTCAATTTTCCTTCATGATACTTAAGGTTTCCGGCTGTCCTAGGATTTCAACATGAATCCGAATGCAGCAAGTTGTGCGTTGTGCTCGATAGATAATTTGAAAGAGATGTGGGGGATCGACGCTGAACTTCGTGACGGAGAAACCATGCGAACATTTCTGCAGTTCGCGGGTGTGGTTGAGGCCAAGCATTTAGTTAGCTACACTGTCGTGTGTGATGATTGTAAGAAGCTGGTTGATTCTAGCTATGAACTTCATCGCCTGTACGTGAAATCACTGATAGCTCTTCGAACGGCGGTGCATCACAATCAGGGTACGTACATGTGTTTATTATGAAGACGTGTTTGTTTAAATTCATTTGATGTTCTCATATGCTCAGGTAATAAACCGAGGACGGAAGTTCTGACGGCGGGTGTGCATGGAGACTTTGACACGTTTTATGCGGCGAATATCAGTTTTAAACGCAGATCATCAGATGAGGTACAGATGAGATATTCTGCATAATTTAGCAGTCGTCTTGACATGCTTGAGTTCTACTTTGTAATGGAAACCTCGTAACTCATTATTTTTGATGTTTTCAACAGAACTTGGGTGATCTCATGGACAGTCAGTTGTTGAAACCGAAAGTCGAGCTTGTCGAAGGCGAATTAAGCGAAAATCTGAGCGATGAACGATCGTCTTTCGCGCTTGATGATGCGCTGTACAGCGAAGAGAATGCATATCAGAAGTCGGGCTCGCACAACCAGAGTGAACAGTCTGCCCGCGACGATCATCTATTCGTCAAAAAACCGCCCCAAGGAAGATCCAGGGTTCGAAAAGGACGAGTCGATCAAGACAATAAAAATGTGCAGTTGAAAGAGTGTCCACAATGCAAGGAATTCAAGCTCAAACCGCTTGCAGAAAATGCTTGGTTTTGCAGCAGATGTTTGTATTCAACTTCAGGCGTATCTCCGAAAATTAATCCGAATTTTGAAAGTGCGTCAGCCACATGTCCGCATTGTGGAATGGAGTACTTGGACATCGCTGCGGCAATTAAATTACGGAAAGTGTCAGATCTCAATTTTGGCGTATTTTTGTGTCGTCCGTGCAAGAAAACTTTCATGGTTGACGCAGACGCCTTTAATGCATCCAAACCTGATATGCCATGCGAGCGGAATGTGAAGCAGGATCTTGTCCATCCGACAGAATGTCGAGAGTGTTCGCGGTGCAAAAAGGTTCTTACGGAAGTGGACGAAGGTAGTGCGCGAAAGTTGTTGTGTTTGAAGTGTGACAAATGCCCTGTTGCTAAAAGACAGGCCACGAAACGTCGTCGATGAAGCCCCTGTCCGTAAATATGAAACAGTGATTTGAATAGTGATTATCGTCAGCTAGTTTTTTTTTACTACCCTTTCCTCATAATTTTTATTGAGCTTGGAGATGAAACGTAATTGTTTTTGACGTGTTAAATGACGATGGAAAATTTTGACCGATTTTTCAACAGAGTTATTCCAAGAAGCTAAGAAGCTTCACCTTAGTCGAAAAGAATTTAAATTCATCTGTAAATCGTACTTAATTGTGAGGCATTTTATTGTACAGTATATCCGCAGTTCGTATTACATTTCCACCCGACTGGGAAAGTTTTTATACTAGAAGTTGGTAATGTAAGTTATCTAAAAGGAAAGTTATGTACATTGAAGCGATCCTGTTGAACTTCCAATTAGAGGAAGTTGAGCCTTGAAGGTGCAAATTTTATTCGGCGTTCTGTGCGCGTACAGTGAGTGTAAAGCTGTTCTTTCAATTTCGAGCCGTATCTGCGGTGTTGCATGGTGTCGACAGATCACGTAAGTCGAAAAATCTGCATTAATGATGCAACATCTGATGGCCAATGAGTTCAAAATTATTATCAGTTGAGTGTTAGTGATGATGATGCGTCGCTATCTTCATACCCGATTATCAGCTGAATAACTCCATTAACTTCGTATAATCCCAGAGGACAGTCTCACGCATCATCTTGAGTGCGTGTTTTTGGTGTGATATTTCTGCGATTTTGAAAGATACTGATTACCTCTGCGTTTTTCGCGTAAGGATTTACGTTTTTCATTTGTTTATGTTTATTTTTTGGAAACGAATTTGCAAGAAATCATGATACTTGAAAATCGCGTTTTTGAACGAAGCTATGCATGGGGAAGACATGACTTCTGTTACTACCGTTGTAGCAGGCAGGGCGTACTCCCCAGGTACAGCGTAAGGCAGGGTGTACTCCAGGAGTACACTGTGCCTGACACAGAGGTCCAGGCACAGTGTACTCCATCAGGCAGGGCGTACTACCCCCAGAATTCCCAGATGCAGTGTTTCCAACCAGTCCGGGTGTTTTCAAGTGTTTTCAGTTAAGGTTTTCCCCCAGTCATGGTGTTTCCCACCAGTGGGGGTGTTTCTCACAAGTGGGGGTGTTTCTCACTAGTTTGGGTGTTTTCAAGTTTAGATGTTTTCAAGTTTAGATGTTTTCAGTTGAGGTTTTTGCCACAAGGGAGGCTGTTTCCCACCAGCCAAGGTGTCAAGGAAACACCAGTCAAGGTATTTCCTTGAACAAACTTTGTCACCTTAGAATATTAGTGGCTAGAGGGAGCAGCATGTAGTGGTCTCAAAGATGATGGCCTCCTGGATAGATAGCTAATTGGTCTTTGGAGAACACTGAGTAATTGCAACCAAAAAAGTAAGGAAATTGTAAGAAGAAAATTATTATTGAAGGATAATTCTAAGAACATGCATACCCATCAAAAAAGAGACTATATTTTTTTTCAAGAGTAGAGTTATTAATTTTTATATTGCCCACAGACATGTATAAGATTTGGTTTTTCAAAAACGCTGACTGGAGTCAGACTTTCACAAATGCATGCTAACAGTAACTTGGAAAAATATTTTGGTTGGTTGATTTAGTTCTTCTGATTTCATAGAAAAATGAATGGTCACTTTTTAATTTCAACCACTTACAATGATTTTTCAATTTTTCAAGTTATTTTCAAGATTATTTTCAATTTATTTACTTTTAAAAATGCCCACAGACATGTATAAAAATTGGTTTTTCAACAATGCTGACTCAAATCAGACTTTTACAAACACATGCTAACAGAGTAACTTGAAAAATATTTTGGTAATATAGTTCTTTTCTTCTGATTTTATCGAAAAATGAGTGGTCACTTTTTATGATTTTTCAAGTTATTTTCAAAAGAATTTCAATTTATTTATTTTTAAAAACTGAACAAACTGGCAGCTCTCTGTGCTGTGTTGAGGAATTGTCAAATTTTCATGTATTTATTACTGCTTCAGTAGCCTGCATTACCATTTGTGGAAACAGAAAAAGAATTCCTTCATCATATACACTGACCAATATACATTTTCTTTGACACCATAAACAAATTTGGTTGAATAAGTGGATTCATATCTTATTGAAGTACTGTACTCATTGAAATCCCAAAATATTTTGCAAAATATGTAATAGAGGAAGGAATTATCTTTATAAGAGTTTTAAAAATGGAGATAAAAGGAAGCAGCAACACTTGCATTTTTTAAATTGGACATATGTTGACTCCAGCATTTGTGTAGTTCAGAATTTTTGATTCTATGTGATCATTTTGTCAGCATTTGTTAAGTTCAGAATTTCTGTTCAGTGTTTTTTAAGATCAGCGCTTACTGCCTTCATTTTTTATCCCTGAAAAAGTTGATTTGTTTCAGGTTATCATGATTCCCTTGAGTGCTTTGCAGCAGCACGTCTGTGTGCATGGTTGTCTTTTGGGTACTGGAAGTCTTCTGATTTCTTGTAAGAGTTCTGATTCAAAATTTGTATTTCTGGTTTAGTAATCTTTTCTTGATGTTGTGATTTCTGTCAGCATTTTTAGGCAGTCCTACCAAGGTTACTGGCAGTGGGTATCACAAACATATTGTACAGCATATTTATGATTGCAGTAAGGAACATTGAAAGGTGGAACAGAGTCCAAAATCAACTAGGGGTGAATGGTGAGCAAATATCTTTGATGTTGTCCTTTGAAATTATTGAAACAGAAAACGTATGCAGTCTGTTGTGGAAAAACAGTGGATGGTGTGTTTCTCACCAGTGGGGTTTCCAAAAATGCCCAACTGACTTGGGCAATTTCAAACACAGAAAAACCTTGGATTACCCCTAATTTTTATTATGGTCTCTTCTGATGCAAATGAAAAATGTACATGACTGCATACAAATTTTGAATATAGAGACCTGGAAGTGAACATGATTTTAATTATGAATGAGTGAAAAATTATAATAGTAAATTTTACAAAGCAATATGCACTATAAATATACTCCAAGTCATTTTGCTGCAGGTCAATTTTATATGTCCTTCATGGTGATGTTTCAGCCACAGAAGAGTGGCTTCTTGTATCAAAAACTCCAGAACATAAATGTTCCCTTACATCTTCTCAACAATAAGTGCGTATAAATCTCACTTTTGCAAGCATATAAGGTATCAGGATCAATTTACAGTGGTGATTGAGTCTCAACAACAATCAAGAGAAAATATATGGTAAGAGAAAATGAAGTCTAGTTTCAAATAAGTATGTGCTTGTTATTAACATCAAGCTCACAAAACATAAAACTGTCAGAAAAAATTTAATGTTCATACAAGCAATCCCACATCATTTGAGTATAACCTTTTTTGACACACTTTCAAAGGATTCCCTCGTTGGAAATATGTTCCCATTGTCAAGTTTTGCATGCTGCAGGTAAACACCAGCATGCCAGGTAGGAAAGGATGGATACGCCTCTTCCACAAAGTGTCCTTTGCAGTCCAGATATCTTCCAATGACAGACCTCAAGTGAATTTTGATACAGTTCTGTAACTGTATGAAGTAATAGCATTATTGAAAATTTGAATAAGTTTTCTTTGAAATGAAAAAGTTTTCTTTCTTACATTCAGAAGTGTTTTGTTGGAACATGTTCAAGAACAGTGAAGGTTTCATCCTCCTTCAGTACTTTTTCCAGGATAGATTTGCAACCCTTTTTGTCCACACATTTTGTCGGGTTGTGTTCCACTGACACACTGACCACTGTTCCACTGACCTTTCCTTGTGTTCCACTGAGGAAAGGGTTAGAGTGCAAATTTAGTCAGGAAAGAAAAGAGTACTGTACACCAAATCAGCTGTTATGTGGCCGGGTACTCCTTATTGAGGGCCCTTCAAAGGTGGGATTTTATTACAGATAAATTGTAGACACACAGGGAAGGAACATACGCAGGCGCAAAGGGGAAGAGTCCAAATTAAGAACCTAACTCAATCAAATCAATCCTACACACACGTCAGAACTATGCAAGTCAATTGAGTCACACACAGCAAACAGGTCTGCACACCTTCAGATCACCAGACAGAATGATGCCTAAGATGGACGCTGGACTTCCAGGTTGGAGCCCAAGCTCTGAAATCTTTTCTCTCACTATCTTGCCACCAATCCTTCCCTCTCAGGACTGGCTGCACACAGTTGATGAGTGTTGGCAACTCTGAGGCATGACTAACTGGTGGGGTGCACTCCAGTACATATCAGGTCGTTTTTTTGGTTGCTTGTCCGCTGCAACCCAATTGTTGTGATCATGGAATTTCTGCATCATGCAAATAGCATCTTTCTCTGCTGCTCAGCGTTCCTTTGCAGTATACCCAAGATTATATGGGTTGCAAGTTTCTCCTGATCTGAGCTCTGCAGGAGGTTGTGGATCCTTGCGGTGTCTCCAAACAAAGAAATCCTTGAAGCGTGTGAATATAAGAATTCTGCGCTCTATTTGTTCCCATGTTCCTAATTTTTCAAACATGGTCATGATGATTTGACATGCCTGCTGATACCATTCCTCTGGAGTTGGTGGATGGGGTTTTGCATGCGCATGTGCTTGCATGACTCTCTTGGGCCATAGCTCCCAGTTAGACAACCAAGATGGTCCATGCCACCAGTGTTCTGCCTTTTCCAAGGTGTAGATGTCACATTCTTGGGATGCCAGATCGGTTGGATTGTCTTTTCCTGGGACATGTCACCATTGATGTGGAGACGTACATGCTGCAATGTTTTGGACTTGCGTGTGCACATACTGGTCTGTCTGTGCTGTGGGGTTCAGGATCCAAGAAAGGGCTACATCTGAGTCTGTCCAGTAGTGCACAGTATGCCGTCAAAAGTCTGTTTGAAGGCCAAGGGCTTGAACCATTTGAGTGGCCAGTGCTGCTGCTGCCAACTCCAAACAATTTATTCTGAGAGGTGGTAATATTTGCCCTTGAGCTGGTCTACATGCTTTTGGAATAACTTTTGATTTTGCCCAAAGCCAGGTGGAGGTTGGTTTTCCCCCCTGGACATAAAATATATTGACACTCCAAGGGCCAGTCCACTTGCATCTGAGAACACATGAATGTCTCCTGGTTCATTCAGGCATTCTGCATCTTTTTGGGGAACCTTCAATTTGTCTGCATGTAGAGCTTGGCAAATGACCTTGTGCCATGCAGCAGTCTCCTTTTTAGTGAGCTTGTGGTCCCACGGTGCTTTGGGATGGTCATCATCAAATTTTTGATGAAGCTCTCTAATCATGGTGACAAATGGTGTTATGAATCTGAGAAGGTCATACAGATGTGCCATGATTCCAACCATTTGCCGCTTTGTAAGATAAGTACATTTTAGTAACTCCTCTAGGAATTTTGTGCTGACATTGAGTGAATCCTTTTCAGGATTGTAGACCATTCCCAGAACTTTGTAAGGTGTTGTATCCTGTGGCTTGTCATCCAGTGGGAAAGATGTTTTAATTTTTGTCAGCTCAAAGCTTCCCAAGCTGAGGGCTGCAGAGGCTTGCTGCATTTTCTCCCAGATGTCCTTGGGATTTTCCCAGTGATGAGGACATCATCCACATAAGTTGTGCAATCCAAGTTGTCTTGCTCTGCTGTGGTCATTATTCCTTGAGCTACCGCTTCACAAAACAGGAACCGTACCACTGAAGTAAGCATAAATGGCACACAGTTGTTGCCTCATGGGAGGTGGAGAAAGCAAAAGAATTCAGGGACTGTTGTTCCATTGGGCTGTAGCTCCGGCCATCAAATGATGAGGACCCATTGATCCTCTTCTGCAAGTTGAACTTGTACAAAGGCCTTTCAAATGTTGCCAATCCCAAAGTGTTCAGCAAACCTCCACTTGAGTAAGATATCTGTGATTTTTGGGAGAATATTGGCCCCTTGACTGAACAATTGGTTGCAGGAGAGACATCCAGGATCTGCTGCATTGCCATCCATCACCACATGCAGGGGTGTGGATGCACTAGATGGCCGTGCTACCCCGTGGTGAGGCAGTTCAGTATATGCAATGCCTTTGCTGTTGAGTTCCTGAAGTGTTGTAGGTGTAATGATTCCTTCCTCAATCCAGTTGTGGAAGAAGTCTGCATATGCTTTGGCCATTGGGCCTCCTGATTTGATATGCTTGATGACATACCTACTTTGTTGAGTTCCAGTTCTGAGGTTTGGAGTGCATTGTGATGGATACAGGAGGTATTCTTTAGAAGTGGAGCAACCAATTGTTTTCCTGGGCTAATTGTTAGTTGATCCAGGTAACCTTGGGAAGAGTTCATTCCAAGAGTGTTGCTCCTCCTTAGGATCTACTAGGATATTGATGTGGTCCTGATGCATGTATTGCAAAATAAGATTGTTGAGTTCAGTATCATCTACCGCCTGGGATGTTGCCAATGCAAGATGAACTTGTGGTTGGAGAACTGGTGCTTGTAGCTGTTGAGAACTCCATGTTCCCCATGTGACTAGTCCTAGCTCTGTTGGAATTGCCTGGAAGCCTGCTGAGCAGATTTTTGGAGCCGTATGTTTGTAGAGATCCACCAGATCAGCTCCCCCAAGTACTATATCAAATGAGAGTGCTGTGGTGTTGAGGACTCCGGGATCTGCTAGCGCAGGTCTAAATTGTTCAAGCCATGGAACAGCGCTTGGGTTGCTGCAAGTCCATGGGTCACTCTTAGGCATTACAACTGCTGTAGTTTCATTGCTGAGTTGGGCGCTTGACCCACAAAGAAAGCTTCACCGCCTCTGAGGTGGATAACGCGTGATGGGACATCTTGCCGGAGCTAAAATGTGAGCCACCAGAAAGGAGCTGCTCCCCCTTTCCTCAGTCCCACTCCCCAGGCAGCTGCAGTCCCTCTCTTGTGCCCATGCTTGAGAGACTTCAGGAAGGGGACTGCTCCTGGTTACAGAGGGAACAAATAGGAAACAGTGTAGGAGCCATGGAGCACTCTTAAAATGCTCAATGTAATGTCTAAATTGAAATAATATTCAACAATATTCATGCTTGAAAATTGACCAAGTTATGGCAAAATGCCAAAAGATTTTTCAAAAGCATATGAAAATTTCAAAAACATGATTTTACATTCTCAATTTTATCTGTACCATTTTCAACCATTTCAACAAGAAAAACTGAATTCATAAAGTTCCCTGCGCACATACTCTTGAAAAATTTTTGAAGTTGAAAGAGTATTGAAAAAATTACAATGAGCTAAAATGAACAAAACAGAATTTTTTGGAAAACTCCATTTCCCATTTAGCCAAATTTACAAATGTGGCAAAAATTCATTTCTTGATGAAAATTACTTTTGAAAATTTTATAAAAGGCGCCTTGATGTTTGCCACATTTAAAATTTTTAAATTTGGAAATATTATGAGTATTGACAAAATTACAATGATTACAGGGAAATGCCATAACCTTCCCTAACCTCCCAGTAAGTTTCTGTGAGGTTATGGGAGTGCTGCAACTGCATAGAACAGTTCTGCAAGGCTGGTTGGGCAGTGCTGTAACCTTGCAGAAGAGTTCTGCAAGGTTATGGCCCTTCTTCAACCTTGCAGAAGTGTTCTGCAAGGTTACAGCACTGCCTAACCTTGCAGAACTGTTCTGCGAGGTTACAGCCCTTCTCCAACCTTGCAGAACTGTTCTGCAAGGTTAGGCAGTGCTGTAACCTTGCAGAACACTTCTGTGAGGTTGAAGAAGGGCCATAACCTTGCAGAACTGTTCTGCAAGGTTAGGCAGTGCTGTCACCTCACAGTAAATGTGTTGAACTTCATTTTACCAAATTTCATTCCCCATAATATTATGGAGTGTATTTTCCAGGCTACTTATTGAGGATTGCAGTTTGCAAAGGAGATTGTTCCAATATTGTTTGAGTGTGCTGTATGTGAAGGACTTGGAGCTGATGGACCCTGATCACAATACCCCCTTTGAAGATGCTGTGCAATTTCTATCAAAATCACTGCAGTGACATGCTTCTTCACAGTTCATGATACAACCCCTGATATCATATTCAGACAGTTTGCAAGATGTACTAGTAATTGGAAATCATCAAGTTATGTCCTGAATTTTGCATTGGTTGTGGAAATTATGCTTGTAAATGAAGTTATTGATTTTATGAATGATTTGACTGTCTTTGGCCTTTGGAATACCATTATTGTTTAAAAAAAACTTGAACCCACTTACTGTTAATTATTTTGTATGACCTCTTTCGTGCTTCATCAACTCTATGAGAAACCTTCTTGATGGAGTTGCACCACCAAGTTTTTGCTGAAATTTTTATTTATAAATTCTGCTTAGTGATTCTTGTGATTATGATGTGAGTCAATGTGTTATACGTATGCAATATATTGAACATTGCCCAAGTTTTCCTCACAAATACAAAAAAGCCTTCTCTTTATTCAGTTCACCAGTAAATCTTCATCACTCTCATCCAACTCAACTGCAGCCACACTTTTGAAAGGAGACCTCAATTGGAATGGGGAATCATCCCACAGCATACTTTGGACAGTGTAGACAGTTGGCAACCATCCAGTTCCAAATGACTTGTAAGAGGGGGACATGCAGTTCAACTCCATGTACCTCCCCACAACAGTCTTCATATGGGTTTCATATGAATTTTTAATCTGTGGAAATCCATAAAGGTATCAAGGAATATATAATTTAATGGTTACTTTTATTTATACCATACCCATGTCTTCACACCCATGTTCACTGCGTGGCCATTTCTGCTGAAAGCAGGCACTATTTGTGTGGCATCCTGGATATACAATTCCAAGTCAGGCCCAGTAAGGTGTGTTTTCTTTGCAGCTTCCTCTTTCAGGATGAGTTGAAGGAGATTTATGAGGAATGTTCCTGGGGAGTGGTATGAAAAAGTACATATATCAACAAAATATAACAGTAGTGAAGCTAAACACATTATTCTTTATGTACTCTCCTGGTTTTAGAGGCACTACTCTTATGCATTCCAAAAAGCAGTTGTTCTCAAAATTCAATGAAGTAGCTTTTCCTTGAAGTCCTCTTCACAAAACAGGTAATTGCTCCAGCAGAATTGAATGGAAAGAAAGCACGCATGAGTAAGTTGTACACAAATCCACAACTCATGGGCTCCTGAAAAGTACACATTTTCAAGAATAACATACCTTCTTAACATGGCTTGTCACCTTCTTGCTTAATAATGCATGATTGTCACCCCTTTCATATTCTGCCAGGACAGCCCCTCAGGCTTAAACCTCAATTTGATGATACTGCAGCGCCATGCTGCAGCACATTAAAAAAACACTATGAAGGTATTCATCAAAAGCGCAAAACTCTGCTATGCCAATTCCATATTTTGGCACAACTTCCACATTTTTTTACACGTAATACTTTCTTCCAAAAGGATTTGCAGACATTGTAATTCCCAAGATCAGAGTAGAACAGTTTAGCAAAAGGTTCATGATCATGCAAGAATGTTTCATGTAGACCAGTGTTCCTCAACTTTTTTTGGCCCGCAGACATGCAAATTCCCACATTTTTCTTGGCGGACTGGGAAATATTTCAAAAATGTTCTGCAGACTGGCAAAGTTTTGTGCATCACGTCTGCATTTTTGCAGACGTGAAAAGTGTTCCTTAGAAGACTTCATGACTGATATTTGAAAAGCTGCTAAAAACCTGAAAAGTCTTGAAAACTTGAGTGTTTGAATTTTAAAAATTGACTATCAAAATTATCTTGAAAATAGCTTGAAGAAACATAAAAAAGTGACCACTCATTTTTCTATAAAATCAGAAGAACTATATTAACCATTTATTTTTCACAGGTTACTGTCAGCATGCATTCTTGAAAGTCTGACTCCAGTCAGCGTTTCTGAAAAACCAAATTTTATACATGTCTGTGAGCATTTTCAAAAATAAATAACTTTGAAATTCTCTTGAAAACAACTTGGAAAATAATTGGAAAACTTTGAAAATCATTGGAAGTGGTTGAAATTAAAAAATTTCTTTCACAAACACTTGAGTTAACAAATGTTTAAAAGTTGCAGAATTTTCAAATGTAAACTAACATTACCTTTTATTATAATTCTGGGAAGCTATAGTATCTTGCTTGAAACTGCTATCAATCTCTGTAATGATAAAACCAAATTTCTAAACCTCATATGAATATAATTCCCTTCCTCTAATAAATATTTTGCCAAGTAAATTGTGACCTGTTTTCAATGAGTACTCCAATAAGATATGCATTCAAATGAGGATACGCGTCATATAGACAGGGATACAATTTGCAAAACATTTTAAAAGTGTATATAGATGCAACTGGTCACAGCTGGAGAATATTGAGGGGGAATCTTCAACTTGAGAACTTAAAAAAAAAAAACGTTGGGAAGTTATCAAATTCAAGTTCAAATTTAATTTCTGCTGTCTGGTATTTTTGAAATTTTTATTTTCTCAGTCACTCACTACAAACGAGGTGCGCAACTTTCTTGCTTGCAGATTCAGGATTTCATCAACATTTTAGGATGAACAATTTGGGAAAACCTGTTTAACTCATCAAAGACGCGCGCATGGCACACTCCTAATACATTCAGTAAAACAATCACAGTTAAAAATAAAGTACTGCTTACTCACCCATGGTACTCCTTCAGAGGCACGCTACTTTTTTCATGGCTGCCTGCTGGATGAGATGAGGAATTATCTCCACTTGGATTCTTACTCTTCACGCCAATCTCAACAGAAGATGCAGTAAGCCAAGATTTATGTGGAGCACCTGAGAAGGAGGTAGCAGCGGAGTTTTTAGGCAGCGTCGTCGGAGTCTGTCCTAGTTTCCTGCTGGTCTGAGACTTATTCTTGATGCGGGTTTCCAAAGAAGAAGAGTTTCCTTTCTTTCCTCAGAGCAGTTACCGTACTCAGTGTTCTCCTAAGAGCATTTGGCAATCTATTGAGGAATACACCATCTTTGAGACCATTACGTGCAGCTCCCTCTAGCAACTAAGATTCAAAGCAACAAAGTCTGTTCAAAGAAACACTTCGACTGGTTGTTTCCTTGACACCCTCGCTTGTGTTAAGCAGACTCCCTGGTGGCAAAAACCTCATCTGAAAGCACCTAATCTTGAAAACATCCCCACTGGTGGGAAACACCCCCACTGCGTGTCGACACAACTCACCGCTCTGTAACTTGCCGCACTCGTAACTTGCCCCACCCCTTATGACTTGCCGCTGTCATACCTTGCCGCACAACTGACTCGCCGCTGTCATCTCTTGCCACACAGACAACCTGCCGCTGCAACAACTTGCCGGAGTAACTGCGGCAAGTAAACTTGCCGCACATGGCTTGCCACACACACAACTCACCACAGCAATAACTTCATGATTAATGTAGGGAGGAATCCTGTTGGATTATTAAATGTAAACTTTTAAAGGGTTTACTCATGTTTTTATTCATGTTAGCAAAAGGGGTTACAAGTATTTCACCTTGGACAAAATGTGTACAGAAAAATACTTTCATTTTTTCACATTTATTTGCGGCAACTTGTATGAGCGGCAGGTTATTTCTGCGGTGAGTTGGGCTTGCGGCGGGTTGTCACAGCGGCAAGAGATGACAGGGGCAAGTCAGTTGTGCGGCAAGTTTGGGTGAGGCAAGCACAGCTGCGGCAAGTACAGGTGCGGTGAGTTGTACCGGAGCCCCCCCACTGGCCTCCCTGGTGGCAAAAACCTCAACTGAAAACACCCAAACTTGAAAACCCCCTGGCTAAACCTAAACTTGAAAACACCCTGACTAAACCTAAACTTGAAAACACCCTGACTGATGGGGGAAAAACCTTTACTGAAAACATCTACTTGTAAAAACACCTCCACTGGCCTCCCTGATGGCAAAAACCTCAACTGAAAACACCTAAACTTGAAAAGCTGGAAATTCTGGGGGGAGTACACCCTGCCTGATGGAGTACACTGTGCCTGGTCGTTGGTTTAGGCAGGATGGACTCTGGAGTACAATTTTGGGGGAGTACGCCCTGCCTGCCACACCGTTGCAGAGAAAATGGGCTTTTGTTTGATTCTGCGGAAGTGTTCCTTTTGTTTGTTATGCGTGACCGATGGTCTTTTTTTATATTTTTGCAATGGAAGCTTGTGTCACTCCAGCATCCACTGGCTATGCTGTTGTTGAGTGAAAAAAAAATCGTTGTATTGCGTTTCAATTTTCCCAAAATTTCTGTTCTGCTGACGTGAGCATTGTTTCAACGATTTTTGCAGTTATAGTTTCATTGGATTTCTGCGTTCTTGTATTCGTGTTTTAGTGAATACTTGTGCTCACATGAAAATGGAGGATTCGGTGAAAGCTGGATCATGTCTTGGTACCTCGTGCGTCGTGTGCGGCGTCGACAAAGATGCGATTGGTGATCCATCCGGTGGCTGTGTCGAGTTCGTCTTGAAATATTGTCAAAAATCGGCGGGTGATTATCTGGATGCCAATGGGATTGTACTACTTTCGGGTTGTGGGCTGTGTAAAGCGTGCTTCACGCTTATCAGCCAATGTGACTTGTTGAGTTTTGAGTTGGGAGTTGCGCTTGACGCCCTAAGAGAGAGAAGTGACGTCACCCGAACTGTGTTGAACTCAGCCGACAATTCCTTCAGTGGAGACATTCTTGGACAATGTACGACCGAAATTAGCTTTTTTTCGAGAGATCATTCAAAGGAGCTTTCCGAGCAGGTGAGGGCTACGTACTGTGAATTTCCAAGTGTTCCTGGGAAATAATCAGCTTGAAAAATAAATCTCATCTGTGCCTTAGCCTTAGCTTACTGAAACCTTTAGGGTTCACAGGAAGGCTTGTTGATGTGCCGATTTTCTGTTTTTTGTTGTTGTTTTTCAAACCCAGGGTAAGACGTAGTCAGATGTGGACCCGAAATCATTCTTCTGGAGCATTAATTTTGTACTTCGTTTATAAATTCATATGCTTACAGTGTATCACGAATCTGGCTGATGAGGGTGTTTCGCGGGACCCGCTTAACGTCGATGAAGATTTGTGGAAAATCAGGAAAAATAACAGCAATTTGCAGCGAAAAGCCAAACAGAAGATCGAAAATGTTCATGACAAAGAATTGCTTCCTTGCGAATTTTGTCATCGAAAATTTTTCACGAAAAGCGCGAGAACGCGTCATGTGGCGAAAGCTCATCCCGAAAACTACCCCAGACTTCCTAGTGATATAATTTGTGACTGCTGTGGAAAAATTTTCAGGACCAAAGTTGCCATACAGGTTCACAGGTTCGTTTTTTTATGAATTAAATATCATAAGGACAAAAGCCACCAAAGTTTAAACTTGAATTCGCAGGAAGGAGAGGCGCTATGATTATGGCGGAGTTTGTGATGTTTGTGGAGTGCGCACGGTGGACGTCAAGGTACTTGAAGATCATCTCCGTATTTTTGCGTATGTCGTTTTTTGGAGAAAACTGTACCCTGTATGGTAAACGTACGATATATTAGTACTTTGATTTATTTGTATGTTCAGGTAAATCAGTATCACCGCCTAGCTTCAAACTGGTGTTACTCTGAAATTGTCCATACTTATGCATCATCCATGACATTATAACATTCTAGAATTTGAAAATTTGGGTGATTACGAAGATGAATGCTTGCATTTGAAAAACCAGAATAACATTCAATTTTAACTTCCGTCCACTTTAATCACTTTTGAATTTGCGAGGTCCAATCTTTTAACTTCGCTAGAAAATAGGCGACGTAAGCTTTTCGGTAGAGAAATACATTTTCGCTTGAAAAGTGATCGAACGATAAATCTTGGTATAGAAAAAATAGCTTTATTAATTACATCCATTGTTTCAATCACCACAAAGTTTTTCAGGCTTACGCTTCTCTTGTTTCTCTATTACTTGTACAGTGTGTGTTTTGTTTCAAGTTACAGTGCGCATGTAATAGAAAGACATCGAGTTATATATTAAGTTCCCATATATTCAAGTTTCGGCTCCCATATTCAAGTTTCGGAATTTCGCATCGATTCAGTTGAATGTATGGGGAAATTGTCGATTCTGGAAATTTTAAAGCTTTAAACCGCAACGAAGAGACTCGCCCAAACGTTCGCAGTGGGAAAGTCTTCACAGCTCTTCGGGATTATTCATTTTTCTATGACTTAAACGTTTTAAGGTTTTTTAAAATTTTAATATGTTGTATAAATTGTTTCAAGTTTCGTGTGCACACGATACTCGTGATATTATTCTTGCGATATTTTTGTGTGTCAAATTTCACATTTGAAAATGATACTGTACTGTACTTGAATCTTTTTTACTGTAGACATCATTGGTCATTCCTATCTTGAAATTCGCCTTAACATTTTTGAAATTTCAGAGACACACGGAAATGTCGCACGGAACAGGCTTAAAATGCAGGCTGTGTCCAGAAATATTTCGTAATTTCCATGAACGGAAAGTGCACATGATCGACTCTCATGGCGTGGGCTCGAGACAGAAACGCACCATGTACAGCTGTTCTGAGTGCACATTTTCGTCTGATAGTCGCCCGAAATATCTTCAGCATCAAGCATCAAAGCATGGTCACTTACCATCTGAATCAGACACTTTCCGATGCATTGTGTGCGAGAAAGCGTTTTATTCTCGTGCCGCCCTGAGGGATCATACAAATGGTCACATGGGCATTAATCCGTATAAATGCCTGGGTTGCAACTATTCCTCACACACGGAAAACAATTTGCGGATTCATGTTAAACAGGTGGGTTTTTTTGTGGAAAACACTGTACGTCGTAAAGAGTAATAAGCACAGGCCGATTGAGCTGGAGGAATAACTTTTTTTCTGATGAAAGCTCGGTTTGTGAAATGCCCTGATTAAAGTAATTTTCCTTCCTGTGATAATTTGAAAAGTAGATTGGGAAGTACGTTTCGACGAAAGAGTAATCTTTTTCTGAGCCTTGTTGTTAATGAAAAGCATCCATTTTTTTCTATGCAGGTTCACAAAATGACGCTGGGGAAAATGAAGGAGAAAAACCGTGCCCTTAAAGGTAACAATGGGAATGAAACTTCCCCGGTGCTTCCTGGTTGATGAACACAAAGAGCCGATTATTTCGTCGAAACTTTGAAATTTTCGGTATGCAACGGATTTACTGGCAGATGTGTTCATTGGGAAATGGGTGATTTCGTTCTTTTTTTTTTTTTTTTTTTTTTTTTTTTTTTTTTTTTTTGGGAAATGGGTGATTTCGTTCTTTTTTTTTTTTTTTTTTTTTTTTTTTTCTTTCTCTGAGGTAAAACCGTGAGATTTTTTGTGATAACGAAGCTTTTGGAGAAGAATGGAAACCCGTATACGGTTCTCCGAAATGCAGAAACGATTCAGCTCGCTTCGGAAAGTTTAGCGTTCCTCCCGACTCATGCGTATGTGTCTGTTTGTATCCACAGAATATGAACTTCAGTGCGTGTGTGAAAGTTGAATCCCTGCCTGCGGGAGTGTGTTTGGTGTGTGGCGGTGAGGCGAGTGTGAGCTGCAACGATGTTCTATCGAGTTCGCAGCGGTCCGTCCGACAATTTTTCCGAGAGCACACCGACGTCATGCTCGTGGAAGTGACGCTGGATGCGACTATTTGCTTGTGGTGCTTTGAACTGCTCGGAGAATGCGATCGGCTTTACACAAAGTTTGATGCCAAACTCAACGAAGTGAAGAAGAAACATTTGGATTACCAATCCGGCGCTGCTCTCATAGGTGAGTAAACCGTATTTAATCATTTATCACGCACAGTATAATTTTTTTTTCATGCTGGAGAAAATATGAAAAATTATATTCAAGCCCCATTTCAATGTTAGGAGTACTCGTTTATAACACGCTTCCGCTTTTTTCTTGCCCGATTTCGCAAGGAATATTAAACGTTGGGCACGACTGAATTTTTAGGCTGCGAATTTACTCTGAATTCTTGCTTTTGCGTATTTTTCGAGAAAAGTTTTCGGTCACTCTAAACGAGGCTATTTTCTTCCCGACACTGTGTAGGTATGGTAAAGCTAACATTTCACCCTCAGGAATTACAGTATTTCACCTTGAGCTAATGTTTCATTTTTTAAATATCAAATAATCGAAGAAAAATATCCGCTTCAATACAATAATGGTCAGATGGAAAAAATGCGACCACAAACCTTTGTATGAAGCCAAGTACAATGGGGAATTATTGACACTTTTTATACTTGTATCACGATTATACAGTATATATATTTTTTTCGCAGTGAAAGGTGACGTGGAGGTCCAGATTACAGAAACTTTCCAGAAAGAAGAAGAGAATACCGTAAGTATGTCGAACGCTGAGATGCACTGTGAAAAAAAGTTTCATTTCATCGCGTTTATAGCCGGCTTTGATTTTTATACTCGTATTTTATTTATTTCTCAAAATCTCGAAAAAACCATGCAGTACTTAATTTGCAAAGGAATTCTTTTCGTGCCTATCTTCGATGTTTTAAATATCAGATACAAGCTGTAGCCCGTGGCTGTAGAATTAGCCCATTTTAAACTATTTGAAGTATAACTTTTTGTTTCGCTTAATAATAGTTTTTTATAATACCAAAGGAAAGCGAGAATTCGGCAGTTTGAGGAATTTTTCAATCTGGTCAATTCTGGGTAATTTTCGGTAATCAGGATGGTGCGAGTTCATCGCAGCGTCGGAAACGCGGGAGACCGAAACGTTTCAAGGAGTTACCGGAGGCTGAAGAAGTTCCACTGTCCCGAAAGCGAGGGCCGCGCAGAACCGTCAAGAAAGCGCCAAAACAAGAAGTATCCGCCGACGAATACGACGAAAATGATTCCTTGTCGGACTCTTCCAGCGACCCAGTGGCATCTTTTCAAGACGCCATTACTTTACCCAACTCCGCGGGTTCGTTCCCGTGTTCCCACTGCGTCTTCGAGTCGACGACCATGCAAGGGCTCAAAGTGCACGCCGCCGCCCAGCACCCAAAGGCGCCCGTCGGGTGCAGGATTTGTGGCAACGAGTTTCCGTCGCGGAATGAGCGGAATAAGCACGAAAAGGAGTTTCATCCAGGGGCGTCCGTGCCGAAGGCGTCGCTCTTCTGCGATTGCTGCGGCAAAACCTTCAAATCCGTCGGTTCTCTCAAAATACACAGGTATCGTAATTATCCCTCCCTTTTTTGTGAACCACAGTTCAATAGTTTCAATTGTGTGTTTTTTCATTTTAGGGGTGAATATCGGTACGACTACAGTGGAATCTGCGAGATTTGCGGAGAACATGCGAAGAACGTCAAGGTTAGTGCATCATTGTTCCAGTGCAGTAATTGTTATTGCTCTTAAGAAAGTAATCTCTTGAGAACGAATGGCGTTTATCGCAATCGTAAAACAAATACATTTCCCTCAAGCCCCGAAGTTGTTGGGATTTCAGGCAGGTTTCGGATGAAGGGGTTTTTGGGCCAACAAATTCTACCTTCACTCAAATAAATCTTGCTGAACATTGCCTAACTTGACGTAGTACAGGTAGAATTCCTTTCTAGAATTCTAGAACTAAATTCATTGGACCGGAAAAATTCGATTTGAAGAGAATTTCTTCGTAGAGAACCTCTATGACGAGGGGAAAACACCATAGAACCCCACGATTGAGTGCTCAAGAAAAAAGTAACTTATTTATTTATAACAATTACATAAATTCCATGCATGAAATACTGGTTTGTTGATCAGGTTTCTGCATTAAAACGAAGCAGGAGGATTTTTTAAATTGTTCATAAAAACAGTTCGTGAAGAAATAATGAAAAGATTTGCGTTCTGGTGAGAAATTATTTAATTAATTTTCAGAAATGTCTCTCTTTTCAAGGTGCACATGTCGTCAAAGCACAGGGGACCATTGAAATGCTCCATCTGTCACGTGACATGCACGAATTATTCTTCACGTCGAACCCACATGCTGCGTGAACACGGGGTCGGCAAAGCGAAGCTTCGCTCCAAATACAACTGCCCCGAGTGCCCGAAGGACTTCTGGTCTAAGCCAAAAATGATCCGGCATCGCGTCATGCGCCACAACTTCCGACCCGACCCCGAATTCATCTTCACCTGCGAGTTTTGTCAGAAGGAGTTCTACTGCAAAGACACGTGGCGGGAGCACGTGAATGGACACCTCGGCATCACTCCGTATCATTGCCCGCTGTGTTCCTACGCGACCAACATTGACAGCAACCTTCATATCCACATGCGACAAGTACACAAGGTCCGACTCAGCGTGGCCAAGGCTGCCGTGAAGCGCGAACAGTCTACTGCGGCAGCAGAAGCACCGGGAAGTGACGGGAACAATACGGATCCCCGAAATTCCTTGGGTTCCCCGTTTCCGAAGAGTCAACGCAAACAGTCGAGCGGGCCGATCGAATCGCCAGTGAGTGATTTTAATAATCCGGAATCTCGGGGCCCTAACGATGCGCTTCAAGACGAGTTTTCTCCGGTCACTCCGTCTGAAGCCTCCGCGTCCGCTCCTTTGATACCAAATCTCTTGTAATCTCTCAAATTTTCAATCTGGTGTAACGTGAACGTCACATAGCCAATGTTTGCAGAATCGTGTTCGCTTTTTTTTTTTTTTTTTGAAGGCCGAGAACTTCGGCTTGCGTTTTGGGATGTTAACCAAAGTTTGTCTTGAGTGTGAGCTGCTCGTTCAAATCTAGTCAAGTACGATTGAATTCTCTCAAAAAAAAAACGTGTGGACGAAAGAAAAAGAATTTTGAACAAAAGCCCATCTTTGATGTTTGGAGGGACAATGACAAGCCGGCTGATTTTCTTGAGAAATTCAATTCTGTATGAACACGGTGTTTTATCTAAGGTTTTCTGATCATTATCATTTTTTTTGTATGTGAACATACATTCCTGTTTTTTTTTGCGCTCTGAAGAAGTGTGAGTAAAACTTGAAAACAATTACACTTGCAATTGTCGACATTTTATTTTATTCTTTCCTTTTGAGTCCGCTGTTCATGCATTTTTGTGGTAGTCTTTGTTCTGATTGTAGCAGATGGCATGTAGTGTTCAATTCGCTTTTCAGCTGCAGGCATCAGTGGAGAAAAAGTGTAGTGCACGCTAATTCGTTTCGGTGGTTATCATTATGTGACGTGATGCGTATGGGAAAATGACTTCTTGAGATTTTTCCGCGACGCGATGATTTTTTCGCCTGTGTGTGTATGGTGAGTAGCCTGTTGAGAGCCTTTGGCGACAGGCTCAGCATGGAAGTATACTGTATTCCTTAATTTAATTAAATTCGAAACTGAAATTTTCTATTCGCAACCTTGCCTGATTTGATGATTTCCATCTTCGAAAAAAATAATTCGATGCCGACTCCGATTGAGAACAAATTGAAAAACTATATGCAGTATTAAACATGATTCGGTGATGCTTGGTAATGCTTCAATTATTTCGAGGTGTTGAATTGTGAACAATCATGACTCACGAATGATGACGGGATTCTGATTTCCAAGCGCAGACCACCTGATCACTTAAAAATAAATGCTTCGAACTAGTTCGAACAGTGTTGGGCAGTTCAGGTGATCGAAGAATTTCAGAGTATTATCCGGGTGATTTTAAACTTTTATCTTTTCCACGCACCTTTTTTTTCTGAATGAAGAAGAAAGTAAATAAAAAAAAATTTTTTTTTTTTCTATTCATGCGTTATTTCATAGTTGATCTTTTGCAATTTCCAGTGATCCCTCAGTGCTATCAGCCCTAGCGAAAAATTAGCCCGAACATTTCCCTGTCCGTGTTTCGAATCGATGAGGTATTTTGGAAATTGGTAATGTCAAGTCTCGAATCGTCAGAAAATTCCCCGAACTGAACTAATGTTGAATACCATCAATTTTCATCAACAGCCGCCTTCACATCCGCCACACGTGGCGGCTGTGAAGGCGGCTGTTAATGTAAATGGCGGAATTACCTTGGAAGACCTGGAGGCAACCCTTGGAATTAATGCCACGTTGATTTCAAGAATTCGGAAGGGAAAGCTGGGCTACAACAACAAAATCTGCAGGAAGGGTTCCTTATCTTTTGAGTGGAGAGCAAAAATCTGCCAGGGTGAATTTTGCAAAACATGAAAAAAAATTGTCGAGCAGGGCTGATTTTTTTGTGTCAAAGAATAATTTTTCCCCGAAGAATACTTTCAGCTATATGCTATTTTTCAATTATATGCTATTTTAATTAATATTCCGAGAACTTGTGTTAGAACCCTCGTATTATGCGAGTTTTGTGAGTTTACCTTTTGTTTGGCCAGGTGATTTCAGTTTTATTTTACTTCGGGTTAGCTGGAATTGTACTTGGGTTTGATTAGTCACAAGTCAGGAAGAGTTGATAAGAACTGTAGTTGAATTTGATTACGATGGTTTCAGACTTAGTATTTTAATGCTGTATCACCTACATGAGGTAATAATTAGGTTGCCATTTTTGCGACGGCATCTAATTCCGAACGCATTGAAAATAGAGGCGCATCCCATGAAAAAAGTACAAATAAATGTTCATTTCTTTCACAGGGATATTAAAATGACGGAAGATACGTGTGATGCGGACTACGTAACTGTTCGGTTTCTAGAAACTGTGCTTCCGAGATCGGCTAAAACGAGTATGGTGGTCAACGATTTCACGACTTCGAAAGGGTGCGCTAACAATGACGGGTTCCTCAGTACCCTGCATGCGTGCACTGTGGATGCCATTGTTGACGGGACAGCGAAGAAGTATGAGCTCATGCTGAAGAAGCTTCCCAAGGATGCGAAGACGAGAGAATTCCTAATCAAAACTGGCTGGCACGAGCATGAGATCCGGTTTTATTCCCAGGTCGCGCCGAAGATGCAGCAATTCGTTCAGGAGTATGCCAAAAATGTTTACAGGTATGAGTAAAACGGTGGATGATGATTCCTTCATTCCTCGGAAAATTACCCACAAAAACGAAATGGTGCACCTTTTGTTTGTCTGATCATGTCTCCTGAACCGTTGATAAAATCCTAAAAAAAAATAGAGATTAGAGCCTAATGAATTACAATATCTTTCCCCTGTTCCATGGTTTATGACCGCACATACGACAGGATGATCATCTGGTCATTGCGGATTATTATTTTTTAAATACCGAATTAAATAAACAGTTCTGCTACTTTACGCTTGAACACCAAGGTCTATGAGCCCCAAATTTTCTTCGCGATTCACATTGGTTATATTCGGATATTTTTTTCATTTTACCGATTCTCAATTGGGTTATATTTTTAATGCTAGTGAGACAGTGCAATCTGTTCGACGTTTCAGAAAGCAGTAGACGTCGAAGGACATTCGGTAGATTGCAGGCAAATTTCCGATTTTTGGCATTGCGTTGAAACTGAAATTGACGCTACGGCAGCCATTCCCCGACAAAAAATATATTTTTCTGATAAATTACTGCGAATTGTTTTTGATGTAGGGAATGGACGCACGAAGCAGTCAGCATTAAAGACTATAGTTAATTATATTGTCCGCTTGATTGAACATCTCTCGAATTTACTGACATAATCGACATTCGAATTGGTGTAGAAATTTTTATGACATGTGTCATAGTGGTCATTCTGTTGGGGGAATCGCTTATGTGTGAAATTTTAGAATAAAATCATTCAAGATTTCTTTTTTCGATTTATTTTCGAGATGATATCCCGCCTTAGTGAAGTGCGTTAAGTCACTTTTTCGTTCATTTCGTTGCATAATTAAATTCAATTTTTTTTGAGTGAAATTATTCTCTGGAAAACTGTACTCCGCTTTAGATTGCCCGTTCCAGAATTTTACGGAATATGCAACGTAGAGGGGGAAGACGATTCCGTTATTGTGATGGGGAACTTGAAGAAAGCGGATCCTGCGTGGACGAGCATTTCTTTAAAGGATGGCATTGATCAAGAAACCTTCCCAATTGTCTGCTCATCTTTGGCGAAAATTCACGCAGTTCCGTTGGCGATGAGAGCAAATGTGGGGGCTGAGTCTGTCAGTGATGTTATTCCTGCCTGGAAGTCCCTCAGCTTTGGACCCTCTGTTCTGGATGACTTGTTGAACAACGGTTGGTAATTCACGTCGACATTAAAGGCGAATTATACAGTTAAAAATGTATTCTTAATCGTGACGGTTGATTGGAAAGTTCATCCGATCTTACCGTTTTGCTGTCTTAGATGGATGTTATCTTAGGGATTCGAGTGTAATCCACCAGTTTTTCAATTTTTGGCCTGCTGAGATTAAAATTGAGAAAAAAGCGAAATTGTCTCGAAAAAAATTTTTTTTCTGGACTATCGTTGTAGAGAGTCCTCCTGTATTTTAATGATTTTCTTTTGATGTTATCATTGAAAGTGTGGAGATTCGATCATCAGATCTTCATTCAATCTAATTTTTTTTTTCAGGATTTCGTGATCTCAAAGCATTTCTGAAGCAACAGAGACCCGACTGGACCCCCGACGGCAAAGACTGGAAAAATTTGGTTTCTTTAGCGAAGTTCGGTTTAGAGAACGCCGATTTACCATTGCGACTGGAAACCGTTTGTCATGCGGATGTCTGGAACGGAAATCTTCTGTTCCGGGGTTCGTCGAAATCTGGGAAACCGGATGATTGTGTCATGCTTGACTGGCAAATGGCTTCTGCAAAGTCACCTGCAGTGGACATATGCAATGTTTTATTCTTTTGCACGCGATTCACTTCGGAGCAGGATTTGCAACTTCGTTTGCATGAATACTGGGATATCCTGGCTGATGCGTTGATGAATTTTAATGTGAGTTTTATACATTATACGATGTTCCGATGCAAGGAAAAAAGCTTCGATACGATCAAATTTCGTTCACAACTTTTCATGAAGGTCCTCGGCGTGAATTTTCTTCGTAGTTTATTATTTATTCTGTCCAAGTCCTTGCTTTCAGTGCAGTATTGAAAATACCTGTATATTGCGACCGACGTACACGCATTTGTTGAGAAAATTATTTTATTCTCTGCGAAAAAAAACAGACTGCGAATGAATAAAAAACGTGGACCAAACAAAATTAGCCCATGAGTAGAAAAAATAAATGCAAAATTCCCCTGAAATATTCTTACAATTGTGTTGAAATTTCACCTTCTTTTATTGATGACAGAAATAAGAATTTTTTAAATATTTTGAAAAGTTTCGTCGTGATATTTGTATATTTTTCGGGTCTTAAGTTGCACAGTTGCTATAAGTCAAGTATGAGATTACGGCTTTTCTTAAAAATGAGATATGTTTGAAAAATTAGCGGGGTTAAAGTGATTAAGCCCAGTTTTAAATTATTTTCTGAGAAGAATCTGAAGACCTTATGAGTGAGTGCAAAAATACTGACGAAAATGCTTTCTAATTTTTCCTCAGGTTAATCTTGAAAAAGACCTGCAGTACTCTTGGAGCGACTTCGTGCACGACTTCCCGGTGTCCCAAGCGTATGCAGTAGTGAATTGGTCTTGCTCAATGGATATGATGTTCTCCTACTCTGGTGAAGAAATGACGAAACGCATTCTGTCGTGGTACGACTACTTCTCTCACAAGGATTGGACCGGATTTTTGAACGAATGGATGTATTCAGTTTGAAATGTTTCTTTAAGAAGAGATGCGCTTCACCTCTTTGCTTTGTTCAAAGGCGAGTTTCTGGGTGTTCAAACGAGGGAGAAGCCGCAGGCACAAAATTACGTGTTGTTGATACGCTAAATAGCTTCCCTCAGAAATGGGATAAAAAAAAGCATGCAATGACGGTGAGCTTTCATTTTGTGTATGGAAAGATTGTGAATATTTTTTTGGATTGTTGATTCCAAGGAGGACCAAGCTTTCATTGTTTGAAAGACGTTCGTTTTCATCTCCCATTTTCTTCTCACGATTTTGTTTGTGAGGGACGGGACTTTCGATTAACCCTGCTTTTCCTGTGCGAAACGTTTGTCATTTTGTGAGCTTCGAGACAGAAAAAGAACTGAGGTTATTTTCTGAATCGCTGAGATTCAAAAAAGATTTTGCGAAAAGAATTGATCTTTTTGTTTCCTGCAAGTGTCGCCTCATTCTCAAAACTTCGCAAAAATAATCCACGCGGACCTAAATTAAACGTAAAAAAAAAGCAAACTGGATCGGTGACGAATTTTCGATCGGGTTTCAACTGAATTTTTCGGTTTAGGTATAAATTCGTATGTTTCGCATACTTGAGTATATCTTCAGTCAGTATATACATTTATAAATGAAAGAATTCACGCGAATAGAAAGAACATTTTTTCAAGTGCATATTCGACCAATACTAATTTAAGCATGAAAAATCATTATCTTAAAGCTTATTTGTGTGCTGTGTTCGATGTTGTATCATATTCTGGCGTTAGTTTCCTTCCGGTTAAACTAAGCTTGATCATGCATTGACGATTTCAGAAAAATTTGGTCTCGAATAATTTCAACAAGAAATCCGAGAAGACGGATTCATCAAAGTTTCTAGATTGAGGCGACACCTGTTGAAGAGCTTTTCGTCAGTTTTTTTTTATAATTTTCTGATTCCATTCATCAATGAAGATAATTTAGTGAAGATGAACTGATATTTTGGATAAAGGTATGAATGCGCGAAGTTTTCGAATATTATGAAGTGCATATCGACGATTTCGAAGTCTGCCGATGTGAACTTGACGAAGGATTTGTCTGCACCATTTCCGCCTTTCATAGTTGTAAAATATTTCTGATGCTTCCTGTTTGCAAATGAACTGTAGGAAAATTCCTTCTGCTCCTGCTGTTGCTTTCTCACACAACTTTCTACCAGATCTTCCTTTAGAGTGTTCAAGTGTTGGACTGTAATGCTGTCCAATGCAAAGTAAAAA